ATTAAAGAGAAAGTATTATCACATAAAACGAAGCAACTTAAACAACTTACATTGAAAGAAATGTTTAATAAAGTAAACAAATAAATATTAAGCTTTTTTTTTTTTTTTTAATTTTGATACACTTTACATATTTGTTTTTATTTCATAAATTACGGTTTCATATTTTTAATTTTAGAATTTCTGCATGCCATCTTACGAGATTTAAACTGATGATCTATAATTCGGAATCGCCGAAGTCCCGACGAGTCCGGATTAACGACTTTTGACTGTACTTAGGGATCTATTTTATTTTTAGGGTGGTATTACAAAAGTGAAATTCAAGCATAGAATAATATTTTTAATTAAATTTATTCATTTCCAATTTGTTCTTAGATCGTTAATTTTTTTCCCTTAATTGTCCTTAAAAGTACTTAATTTCCGTGTGCAGAAATGTGTACGAACCCTGTAAAACATGCTGAAGTTGCTGACATCAACTTGAGAATTGAAGTTTCATTTTCATCTGTTCATTTATTGATGAATACTTCCCCACCCGTTATTGATGAAAAATATCTTAAGTGAAATTGAGTTTTCTATGTATCAGGTACATGATTTGAAAGAAATCTTAGATTTACATGTTAATATAGAATGGGGAGAAATTGCTTTCCAAATAATTTTTTCTATTGCTAAAAAAAAAAAAAAAAAAAGACTGAATTTTAACCAAATTTAGGACTTAAAACTCTCAAAGTAGTTTTGATTGAAAAAATAAATATGCAGGCAAATGAAGAACTGTATTATACAAAAACATTCTCAAAATCTGAGCATGCTACATATAAGTCTTTGCATTCATAATCTGTAAATAAAATTAATTTTAATAGCTATATGTATTATTCTATTCTTGGCTATGTAGGAAGTATTGTAATCAAGAAAAATTTTAAGTATCATATTTCAATGAAAATGTGCATATTGATGGCTATTGAATGCAATTTCAATGCTATTGAATTGGCTATTGAATGCAATTCAGAATGTGATATCTGTACATAAGGACAGGATAAAGGACTTGTTTTGCGCAAACGAATTATAAAACTGATTTAAAATGGTTTCGGAAGAGATTTTTCCATGGTGTCTATACATACGTATGTATGTATGTATGTATCATCATATAACTAAAAAACGAATAGCCTCAGAACATTGAAATTTTGTATGTGTAACTGCTATAACATGTAGATGTGTCCCTCCCTTTTTGGTTGCAACTGGACACAAACAAAATTTGTATAAATATATATATACTCACTCTGTTACTGTGAGCTCAGTTTTTTTATTTTTATATGTTGTTATTTTTTACTATAAAAATGATTGAATTATGTTGTTCTTATCTTTCGGTTAAGGTTTTTATGCCCTTTTGTATGTTATAGTTATAGAATTATCAACAATTTAAAAGTTGTTTAAGTGTGGTTAAGCCTGATTTTTTTCACCTTAGCAGCCATATTTATTTACATTTGAAACATAGTTGAATAGTGGATTTGTAGCCAATCTAGAGAAACTATGCTTTGCAACAACAAAGATAACGTCCTCTTTTATTATTGCGAATTAAATCATGCATTTATCCGTTCAGGAATTATCATTTAAGTTATTAAATAATCCCATATATTGACTTAGCACAGTATTTTAGATTTATTATAATATTTGAATAGAACATGTGGCAGCAATTAGATAATTCTTCAGATGATGTAATTTTTGTGCATACTGATTTATAAAATGAATGAGATGTAACGCTGTTAAGTAACCTAATGCCAGAGTATCTCGAAGGTAAATAAGTATAGTGAATTTTAAAGAGTGCATTTATTCTATTGTGGTTTATGCACTATTGATGAAGTAGAATTCAATAAGTGTAAATGAAATGCAGAAAAAAAATGTGTACAATTTAATATTCTGTATAAAGAAGTCCTGGTGTACACATCAGATTTTTTTAATTTTATTTCCCTGTGGAAATCAAATCTAGAGTAAAGATGATTTATGGATTCTGATTTTTTTCTGTGATTAGTAGTGATTTAAAGTACTTGTTTCAATCATATATTAGTAGTCTTAGTGATATACATGCTTGAGGACTTAAATGAAAATTTTTAATTAAATGTGCATATAATTTACTAGACATATTTTTAATTATTCAGTTTGATATATATATGGATTTTAAATGTTATAAAATTGATTACAATTAATGATTAATTAAAACATATGCCTTACATGCGTGTTTTCAAAGTTGTAAAAATGTTGTGTGCGTTTTATCTACCAACACGTTTTGCTGCAGGTTGAAGTCTATGTATTATTCACTTGACTGAAGCCAGCTTACACTAAATAAGAAGAGGGAAAGATCAATAGTATTGTTGTGAAATGCTCTACCAGAAAATAGCTTCCCTCTAAAACGGGGTTAGGGTTGCCATAAAGTGGCAGATGAAAGAACATGTGGCAGCAATTAGATGGTTGCCAGATTTGGCGCAAAATCGGCGATATGCCAGACGGAGCAAGAAGGTTCTAGAATTGATTCTTAGTGATTTCCACAGAATATTCTAAAAGTTAGGTTAAAGGTATATATATCCTGCCTGTGCAGGGAGAAGGCGTATATTGAGTTCAGAGAATAGTTTGAGAGTAATCGATTGAGTCAAGAGCTGTAATTTAGTGCTTTACTATTATAGCTTGAAGGCTGTGTTGCTGATTGTTTCATGTGTTTATTGTAGTTTCTGAATGCCTGTAAACATGTCATGGGAACTGTCCTGTGTAATACTGGTGAATAAATTGTGTTTTTGCTGCCTCATCATGTGTTACCATCAATTATTTCAAATCTATGAACTCGTAAAACACAACAGTATAATATGAGAAATAATGAAATGCACACATTTATTAAACTTAAGTTCATAATTCAATTTTGCTTGATTTATTTATATATTTCTAAATATAATCAATTAATATATTACATTAATCAATTATTATTTTATCAGTGCCAGATAAAACTTGAATACTTATATAGTAAATGTTGATATTTGCAAAATTAATGACTCAATCACGTAAGTTTTATTTATCATGTTTTAAATAGTGCTACATGGCAGAAATTTATGAAAAGACTGCCAAGAGAAAAATAGAGGAAAGACATTCAGCTCTAATAATTCATAGAGCTAGTGTTATTTATATTTAATAAAATGTCAAAAAACTGAAATTAGACAATGGAAATGTGCCTGTGTTCACAAAGCTCATAAATTATTATTAGAATCAAGATTTTTCAGAGCATATTATGTTGGAAGGGGAGAAAATTTGCTACTGTACATTTTCACTGGAAAAAAAACTGAGAAATGCCTGTTTACTTTGTAAGGCATTTATATGGTTTTTTAACTGCAGTTTATAAAATAATTTCAAGTTACAAGAACTAGTCACACCAAGTTGTACCTACATTTTTCTATTCTTACTTAAATTTATTAATTTTATGTAATTTTGTATTTGTGGAATTAGCAAACTGATCAAGGCCTCTAATGAAGGCATGTATATAATTTTAAAAAGTGAATTGATAATTTTTTCCCTTTTTATCATATTTTTTCTAAACTTTTACAGGTATTTTCATTTGCTTAGTTTATTGAAAATGTATTCTTAATCTCTCATATGCAAAAATCGCTAAATTTGTCCTCGTATTTATTTCCTGGGCTTTATTTCTAAAATTATAGAAATGCTGAAACACTACATGCTGTAAAGAATGGGAACAGAAGTTAATGAAAATAACTAATAAAGCAATAAATACGGAGAAATGGAATAAAATACATGTTAAAATATTGATAATTAAGTAATGAATTAATATATCATAAAAACTAATAATAATTAGTAAATTAAAATAAAGTCAAAACAATTAAGTGAAATGATTAATTAATAGTAAAGGCAATTAAGTTCATAATAACAAGGCATGATGTTATTATGAACTTAATTGCCTTTCATATACAGTGGTGGCCAAAATTGTGGACACTTTTGGAGATTTTTATGTTTTTGAACTTTGTATGCTTATAGAAAATGTTACGTTTCGCAAAATGCAAACTTGTATATATTATTTTAAAGAGAATTTATTACTGAATTCAATACAAAACACAAAATTCAATTATTTGCAATACAAAAAAAAGTTATATGTACTTTAATATAAATAAAAAACACAGTTATAAAGTGGTTTGTAATGTCTAGCTTTCCTGGCCAATCACTGTTCTTGTTCTGAGAACCAATCAAATGTTAGTAACTGCCAGTAGAAACTGACATAACCTTGTTTATAATGAAATATTTCTTGTCTTAAGACAGATACTAATCGCATAGTGAAACTGTTAAATTCCTAATTTCCATCTATCCAAACTTTACTTTAGCATCGTAAACTATTAATTAGCTAGCTTTCTTGCATTATGTTTTTATCTTAAGTATTACTGCATATATCCGTTAAGTTTCATCATTTTTAAGTAATTTTTATTTCTCAGGGGATGGTCAAAATCTAAATAGTGGTTCTAAAAATTGGTTAAGCCCTTTAAAAACCATTATAATTTTCATTTTCAGCCATACTTTAAATGTCTTTGAGGTGGGGAAAGAGCTTTATTATCATATTGAACTTTGAAAAAAATTTCAGAAATAAGAATAAATATCTTGAAAAATAAGCCGGCATTAAATAAACAATTTTAAACTTAAACGTACAGTACAATTCAAACTTTGAAGCAGAAAATTCACTTTATTACCTTAGATTATCAAGGTTTTAGTGGTATTAGTATTTCGCATCTTAATATACTTCATGTTAATTTACACACAAAATCACAGTAAAGGTATTTTTAATTTGATCCAGTTTTATAATAATTTTTTAATTTTCAAATATTAAAAATACATGTACTGTCACAAATGTATTGAGATATTTAAATTTTTATTTCTTATTTCAGCTTGAATTTATGCCTTTTAAAATTTTAATGTTTTTAATATTATTCTTGAAATATATTTTAATTCTGAAAATATTCTAAATTCAGACAAAGAGGATAAAGCTAAAAAAGAAAAGCAGACAAAGAAACCTCCTGCTCCCCAAAAAACCACAGTTCCACAGGCAACTTCAACACCACAAGCAACCACAAATACAAGTTTTCAGACTTCAACTTTTTCACCTGTAATTAGGGCTGGATCAACTGTAACTAACTCTACACCTTCTGCAACTGTCGGCACTGCTGCATCGGTTGGCACTGCTGCATCTGTCAGCAACTCAGAGACTACTTCTGGTCAAAAAAGAACTCTAAGGAATTTTGAAACTAGTAAGCCAAAATGTATTTCCTATGTAAATCATCGAGTCATTTGGTTAAGAAATAAGTTTTATTGGTTATTTGGTAATAGAATCAAAATTTAAGCTTAATTTTTATGAGAGGAGTAATTCAACAATAAACTTCCTAAAAGATTTTTATTTTACCTTTTCATGTTACCTTTAAAGATTATAAAGAAATAAATTTTTAATGTAAAAATAGCTTACATGGCCATTAATGATCTCTAATTCTATAAAGATTTAAATTTACTTATTTGTAACTGTGAGTGGTGTGATTGCTTTATCTGACTGGAAGTTTTTTTCTTAATCATTTAGTGTATATTAACCTTATAATATTTTGTTGTAGTCTTTAATAATCTAAATATTATCCTAATGAATTAAAAGTTATGAAGGCAAGAAATAAAGTAATTACTCAAATCTAGCTAGTAAATGTAGTTTAAATGCAGCTATTTATCAGCAGGTGTGAAATGTCGTACTGTTCGAAGGGTTAAGCCAAAAGAAAACATTTTATTCATAAAAAATTTATAATTATCAAAATGTGTAACTATAAAAATAAAAGAGGTGAAAAAAGATGTAAATGTGAATAAATGATAAAACTGGAATAACTGCTGAACCAAGACTGAATGATTGATGTACAATTTGGAAGACAGAATAATATGGATACATTGTCTTTCACTAAATCTTTAAGTGAGGTATGAGCCAAAAAGTTATCTGCAATCAGTACAATTTTGCCTTATCAGGTAAACCAACCAAATTCTGCCGACTCTCGGATATGAAATGATTTTCAAACCAATCATTCATTAGCACTTGTGTCATCTGCATTCTTTTATTTGCACGATATATAATGGGAAACATTTTACTCCTTTAAATGCTCAAGGGCATGTATTATTATTATTATTATTATTATTATTATTATTTTATGAAAATTTTACACTTTTGCGTTTCTGCCATATTTGCACATGCTAAAATTGCTAGTCTCGCTTTGGAATCTTTGACACGAGTCAGAACCTTTTCTGTGGAGGTTTCCAAGATATTTTGCGGTGCATATTGCCAGAAAAGATCAGTTTCATCAGCGTTGTAAATTTGTTCTGGAGATAACGTTTTAACTATTAATGAGTTCAGTGAATTCACCTGCAAATTGTTCAGCAGCTGAAGCTTTTTTTGCATGAAATTCTTAATTTCCTTATACCATGACGATTTTTAAATGTGGTTAACCAACCTGTTGAATATGAGCACTCAAATTTTAAAGTTCAATTCTTAGTAAAATATTTTAGAGTTCACCATAACATATTACCCATCAATGGTACACCCTCACTGCAATGCTGTCCGACCCATTCAGTTATCACTTTGTTGTGATCTTCACTAATTTTTCTGTTATTCGTTGCGAGTGGGGTGTTGGAATCTACAAAAAGTTCCTTTTTCTATTTTCTTATGTCATATACAGTTGACTTTCCAATGACATACTTCTCGCACGATTTTGACACGGATATACCTTTATCCATTTCTTGCAGGATATCCACTTTTTTGTTTAATGGACATTGAAACATTCTTTTGCTTTGTGGATCCTGTTGCACTTCCAGAATTTGAAACTCTTTTCGACACGATCAAAAGTTGAAACTTTAATTATTATCAGATTGCTTTAATAGAAGCAGCCTACAAAAAATAATTAAGCTGGATCAAATCATAAAGTTAAGGAACAGTGCAGTCTGCTACATTGGCTGAAATTCCTTGTAATCAGTAACATATAATTTTAGCCTAGCTTAATAGAGTCCGCTCTACATTATTGGCTGTGCATCATGAGATTGGCGACAAAAGACAAGTTCCACCAAATTTCGTCTTGCTTCTATCTCATGCTGACTGATTGTATTAGTTTAGTTATTTATTATACTTATGTCTATTTCTTGCACATGCTTAAGGCTTAGCTAAATCCTGAATAAATTCCCACATGTACTTATGACTTATTGAGAGCTGGCATTAGATATTTTGCCACCTGATGCAGTCTCTGCGGGTCCTAAATTCTGCTACCAAGCACCTCCCTAAATTCTAAATTTTTGCCACTCCTAAATTTTGGATCCCAGTGGTTTCCATAAGTTCTAAAAATGTTTTCATCCTTTAAATTTGTTACTCAGTGCTTCTCTAAATTAAAAAAATCTTGTCCTCCCGAAATTCTGCCGCCCAGTGCAGCTATGCGAGCTCTGGCACCGGTTCTGGGTTTATGTGGGAAAAAAAATCACTTATTCTTAATTCAAATAACACTGAATGTAATCTTTTGGCCTATTAGCATCATTAATAAAATCTATTTCGTCAACATAAAGGATTACCATACTTCTTTGTGCTAATATATATATATATAAGGGCATCACTGCATGAGTCATTATTCAAGTTTTCATGTGTTGATAAGCATCTGGTGATGAAAGTAAAATATAAGTAATGATTGGCTTTCAAGAGGTGTCAGGGAAATAAAATATATGTAGGTGTTAAATCAACGATGTTTCTGTTTTAAATGTTTCGGTTTGATATAATGCAGCTACCAAATTATTGATCACAGAAATTAATGCTAAATTATTGTTTCTTCAATAACGAGGTATTTATTCAATGCTGAAGGGAAATCTAGAATCGTCATTCTCCACATGTTTTATCTACAGGCGGAAAATTCAACTGCTCATTCGTAAAATATTACTTCTCTGATGTTTGGGTCAATCATAGTTTCTGATGATCATATGGTATTTTATTGATGTCCATGCCAATCTGTTTATATCTGATAGGTGAGGTACACAGAATTCTTTTAATCTGTTGAGCATGTCTTTAACATGGCTGTATTTATTTGGTCATGATTTTTGTTATCACTTGATAAAAAATTGCATTTTTTTCTTTAATGATCTCGATATTATTCTGATGAATAAAAGGTTATGGTATCAAAGAGTAAGATAAATAATTCTGAAAATCTAGCTAAATTGTGTTTAAATGCTGCTGTTCATGAGCAAATCCAAAACCTATGCTTCTCAGAAGGTTAAGTCTTTTCCACATTCTGTATTCCTTGAAGAACTGTTTCATAAGGAGTAGTTTCATATGAAAGCGATAGTATTTCTTTTCATTGATGAGAATTTATTACATAAACTTGTAGAAGCCCTTTTTCAACCTGTAATTTTACTTGTTATATTTATTGTCTGACTATTTATGTATTATTTTTTAAGTAAAATAAAAATAATGAATTTATCTTGTTGCTCTGAATCCTTTATAATTCCTTTATTTCCCCATCATTCGATGATCATAACAACATTTTGTCTTTGTTATATTATCAGTTCTCTTCACATTATCTGAAGTGTATAGGAACAAAATGCAAAATATAAAGTTCTTAGACTTCCTTTAGAAAAGTCAGAGTTGTTTTGGGATAGATTAAAAGATAATTTTTTTCCTACTGAATTCAATATATGACAGTAAATTAAATGAACCTGCTGAAAACAAATAAAAAGTAAGTACTTTTTATCTGCTTCTGTATAAGTATATTGATGTTAAGTAGCGTAGTGCTTTTTGTAGTCGATATGTGAGCTGAGAAAGTGGCTTTATAGATGATTAAAAAACTACTGATAGAAGGAATTCTCTATCTTCTCTTCCTCACAAAAGTTAAAATAAATGTGACATATTTTGTGTTTTTGAGTCTCCTTTCAGTACTCAAAATTACTTTAAAAATAATTAAACTAAGGAAAATATTTTTTCATTGCAGACTTTGGTTAATGTAACGTAAGTTTTAAACGTAGGTTATTTTTATTATATTTCTTCTAACTTATTATTATGCTAATGGTAAGAGGTTAGTCAAAATAATGAAAGTTTTTTTATCAATATATCAAAGTCTAAAATTATTGATTATTAATTTATCACACAATATAAACAGATGATTAGATGAAAATCTAATCAGGTTAGTAATCAGGTAATCGGGTGAGATGAAAGCACCTTTCAAATTATGAACTTGTATACTTTTTTTCTTTTCAAACATGTTAGTGACAAGAAAATGCACTTTTTGCTAAATACTTGAATAATGCTTATTTTACTGAAAAAGGAAAATACAATGCATTTATACTGAGTTACTATTTTGTTTGCAAAGCTTCATATGTTAAATTTCAAACCCAGGGACAAGAAAATCATATGTGGTTGTATTTGGTAATGGAAGTACATTGCTTTTATAACTTTTAAATCTTTTTTTAGTTATTTTCTCCTTTACTGAGTTCTTTTAAATCTTCTGTTCTTCTCTAGGAACTTTTATGAATTGCTGCATCTATATATAATCTTTTATTTATATTTTTTAAATAGATTTTTATTCTTTGAAAAATATTGTGAATCCGTATGCTGTCTTTCTCCATGCTTTGAAGTTTGGATTTAGTATTCAGAATTAAATCTAGGTCATATATGCTGTTTGATATAAGGAATACTTTCACCTTTTAAAAAATATAACATAAAATTCTTACAATGAAAGTCCTCTGTGCCATATTTGAAGCATTCATTTCAAATGTTCTTTGGGCCCACCAGCAGCCTAGGATAAAGTCACTAAACACTGATAGTTTGGTCGAGGTTTGAATCTTGTGAGCAGGCTGGCTGCGTGGGCGTTTTCGTAGTGTTCCTCATGTGTAACATGTATATGAGCCAGTTTCTCTTAGAAAATCCTCCATGAAGGCATCCTCTCCCTTTAGGCAGATAGCCCTATTGTGCTGTGCCGTAATCTCAATAAATCAAACAAATGTTCTTTTATCCATTTTTTTTTCCAGAAATTTCATTGGTCATTACCCATGAAATCCAGTGTAAAGATAGTTTTGCAGTAGATAGACACAGAAATTTTAAGACAATTTTTATATTTTGTTCCAGTCTATTGAAGTTTTTTTTTATGGTTTAGCTTTTCTTGTCATGTCAATGATATACAATTCTCCTATCTTTGAAAGTAATAACTTTAAGGTGATCATTGCAAAAACATTTTGCACTATAACATGTATCTTATTAATGTTATGTATTTTAAAAAAATAGTACTTGATTCTGTGATTGATTCTTTTCACTTGTTCAGATATCCTCCACTTTACAAAATTTACATCTTAGATTCTTTTTTCCAGTCCCCCCCCCAAAAAAAAAGCACTTGAACTTTTTATCAAGAAAAGTGGAAATGTGATTCAAATTTTGTTTTCTACCTAAAAAGATTACCAAAAAATATACCAATTATTATTATGCATGTGGATTTATGCCAGTTTTCACACGACATTTTAGACATTCAAAGAACTATTCTGTAGAGGTTTTAAAAAATGCTATTCTTATCAGCTGATCATGTTATTCTTACTTCAAATCCTTTACAAAGAAAGCATACAAATTTTAACTTTGGGCATTTGGTCGGACAGCTAATGAAATTATAGATGCAGAGTTTGTATGGATGCAATTCATGGTAAGATATTAATGATTGAGCAGTGTTTTCTGTTCCCTATACCATAACTCTTTTATCCCCCACTGTCATTCCTATAATACCCTGATTTCTTCGTCATTGCAACCTTCTTTAAGTCTTCCTGTGTGCTTCCTATCATTTCATTTTTAGTGGTTGAAATTATGTTGTACATATATTATTTCTATTTATGTAGACAGCAGATTTAGTTCATCATTAACTGATATAATGTTATTTAATATGAAGAGTAATTTTGAATTGATAGTTTTCGAAGACCTGGGGAATACTCAGACACTTTTCCATACAAAGTAATACTAATTGCCTCTTTATGCCATTTTATCATGCAAAAATTTTGACAAGAACATTTTACTGTCATGTGGAAGAAACTTGCATCTCACATTTTATATTTAGATGATAGCATTTTTAATATAGAGAATATATCTTTTTTCTTACCATTGTTAAAATAAAATATTAATGACAGAAGGAAAAATATATAACCAATATTAAATTTTTTAAAATATTGGTCTGAACAGTTTCATAAAATCTTTTATAAAATGTTAACATTTTCTAGTAATGAGTTATTATTTAATAATACTTAATATGCAATTCTAGATTTTTGTTATAGTTTTGTGGAAATATTTTAGAAACAAAAGGATATTAACAAAGTTCCTATAGTCTTTTCTATGACTTACTGAATATTTTCCTTATATATTTTTATTTTTACATCCATTTAAAAATCTGTGTAAATTTGACTTTCTGCAATATGCAAAACAATATATTTTTATTTAACATTTAATTTTGTAATGAGCTGTTTTATCTTTTTTCCAGTATGTAAGATCGTGAACACTCATCCACATGAATATCTTGTAGATATATATGATCTTCTTTACTTGAAAACACATGAGGTATTGTCTGAGAATTGTATAAATTGTATTTTATTTAAATCTGTACCCTTTTTTGTGATAATTTCATATTTATATGTACATTACTTGTGTATAATGCAAAAAAGGTCAATATAATTTTTGTTAATTGTATAAAATATATTTTTGCCGTGAAGTATCAAGAAAGTATAGAGTGAATACAAATATTGCTGTGTAGTTAATGGTGAGAATATAGCATCAAGCTCATGAAGCCATGAATCCTGCATGCCAGGTTGAAACTGTACAAGATCATGGTGGCTCAGTCATGCTCTGGGGTAGTTTCTCTTGGCAGTATTTGGAATCTTTGGTAATTGTAAATAACCTCCCTCAATATGATTCTGTACTTAGAGTGGCTGGGTGATCATCTCCTTCCATTAATATTGTCCTGTCATTCACACGAAAATAGAGTATTCTAGCAGGATAGCTGCACCTTTCACAGGTCCTGGTTGGCTACTGCCTTGTCGCATGGGCATTTCCTCTGAATTTCTGCGTCAAGAATTAGCTACCTAGAAGCCCTGACTTAAATCCTACTGGGCATAGTGTTATCACCCTGTATTATTTTCTAAGGAATTAAATAATGAAGAATATGCATATATATATTTTCCTAGCATTTTAAAAAAATGGTGCCTAAAGCCATCAGATTTTGAACAACATAGTCTTTCATCCGAACATATGCATCTAGAAGCCTGAATTTTGAATATTATGTTTCATACTTCGTAAAACTGTAAATGAATTTTTAATTAACAAACTCAACGATTTGAAAACAAGTGGTGGCAACACTGTACGGAATAAAACATTTTATCTCCGGCATGCAAGACTGTTTATCAGAAATTCCAAAGATATGCTATTTTAAATATTATGTGGCCGTTGAGTTGAATTTTATGTGGCATATGTGCAAAGAACATGATATTTAATTAATAAATTTATTTAACACAAAATATTAATACTAAGAAGACCAAGAAAAAGTGTTGCAAGCCATCTAAGAAACCTGAACATTGATATGATGAACTGAGAAAAGACTGAAAAAACAACAACAACCCTAAAAAAAACACCAAAACTTAATACTTCATCATTTAAGTTCTAAATATACGCTGCTGTGCCGTTGTTAACATTTTTATAATTTTACTGTTGAATATTTATATAGTACAAGTGCAAAGCAAATGCTTAATACTGTGAATTCAGCAAGAATGTAAAAAAGCCTTAAACCCTTTTTGGGTGACCATTTGTAAAACCCACTTTCAGCTGTTTCAGCAGTACTGTAATCTTCAAATAAACACAGATATTTCATTTGTGGTTTTTTAGTGTGAATTTTGACGTAATGCTGCAGTTTGCTATCAGTCTTTAATATTTATATTACAAGATACAGGAATAGTAGGGTATCCATTCACATTAGAAAGTAAAACTGCCTTTAAACTTATTTTGAATGGCTTAATGTGCATCACTGACTTCAACTATCATTACAATCATATATTCATTCGCAGCTACTAAATAATTTTATTTTCCTCTTTTTAAATTTGCAGATTCATTATTTTGTGCTATATGTGTAACTAATTTTAATAAGATTTTTTGTTAGTCTGTGATAAAAACTGCTGCCTCAATAACAGTACTTTTTAAAAAATATATCACTTTCATGCAAAAAAACAAATATTTGTAAAAAAAAAAATTATTGGTGATTATATCTTTAAGGCAAATGTCAGAATAAATGGGGTGTAAATTGTGTAAAATACCCATCATTTTCATAGGAAGGATTTTTGTCACACAACAATGTTCTTAGACTGATTTCATTTAAGTTAAAATTCAGTTTGTGAATAATTCTTTGCAAACAGTCTGTAACTGAATTAAAGCTGAGATTTTGTTCTGACTAAGGCATAAGAAAAGGTATAAATTAATTATTTCATAATGTTTATTCTAACATTTTAGAACTATGCATGTACCCATTAAATTTTGTATTTAATGTTGCTTTTTGTTAGAAGTAATAAATTTGTGTGTATTTTCAGCCAAGTACTCTAAGAAATGATATACTTGACTTTAGTGGCTTTACATTTGAAAAGGGTTCTACTGAATATATAAAACGTAAACAGCTATTGGATAGGTAATATTAATTTAATTTTCTTTATATTTTATTTAATGCATAATTGTATTTTCTTATGATTATTTTTTTCGTGATTTAGAATGCTTTATAATTCAGTCCGAAGAATATATAATACTTTAATCCATACTACCACTGAAGTAAAGGTGTATTCTAAACCCACTATGATTGCTGAAATATTCCAGTTTCTTTTCAAGTTACCAGATCATGATACTAGTAAGTTAGCTTTATACTTAAGTAAATTTCTTAAATTTACTCTTAAACTTGTTTTATGTCAATTCATATGTAATAATAATATAGCTACTTACTCCTTCTTAGTTGTGATAGATATTTTCATTGATGTGTGTCAGCTGTTATATAGAAAATTTTATGAGAAGTGAAGTTTTCGTAAAAGCTGAATTAAAAGTTCATTAAAATTTTAATAAGTTTCTTCTGTTTAATTTATAGATTGTATAAGTATCATTGGACATTAACTTCGAATGTCAACTTTTTTATGGAATTCATGATTTTAGCACTAAAACTAGCATAATTTGTTTTAATTTTATTGACAAACATAAGTTAATTAGAATAGATGTTGGTTCTTGGATTGACAGTTGCAGTATAAACTCTTTAAAAATCAATAACAATTTTTAAAGTAATTGGTTTCACATCTGAATGTGATACAGCACTAAATATTGATATTGCTAACAATATGAGTAAATGCAATTTTAAGTTTAACCTTTTATTTTCCTACTAGACTAAAGTTCCCTCAGTAAAATCACTCAACTATGTCCGAATGGGACTTTTAAGCTCCAATTTTAAATTTAAAAAAGAAAAAGGAAAACTAACATTTTTGTAAATTTAATACGAAATGTTTCTCACGTATAAATAAATGTAATAAAAAAGTTTTCAACTTCTTTTTCAAAAAATAAAGTGATTCGAGACGTAAAGAGTTAAAAGGAACAGTAATAGTTACACTAACATAGTAAAGTCAAGGATTTCATCTAAAACTGGTTTTATCAGTGGCTGCATAACATCAGATGTGAATACCCTCTTTTTGTTTTCATGATTCAGAATTGTCATGACTGGATGCAGGCAAACTACAAGCTTTGCTAACTTCTTGAAGCACATTAAGAAGAATCATTTTAAAATATTTAAAAGAACACAATATTATATATAATAATTTACAATTATTTTGATATTACATTTACATTCTCTTTACTTTATTAAATCTATTGTATACACGAATCTTCTCTTAATCCTCTACTCGATCAACGTGTTGTCAGGTATGCAAGTAAACTTTCCTGAAAAAAATTCATTAAAAAGGGCTTTTGTCTTCAAATGACTGACTGACTGAATAATTAAACATGCAAAAAAATTAATTTGTGTGAAATCTGTTGTACATTTGCTAAAAATGTTGTAATAATTTTAATATCAATAAATAAGTTTTTGTAAATACGTTTTCATAATTGGCTATTTTTTAAATAGGTGTACGTCCTCCTCCAACTACCAAACCAGCTACAAAGGCAGCTTTGACCAAAGGTTGCCCAGTTGTAAAAGTTGTGCCTGGCATGGTAAGTTTGTGAAGCTTCCCTCCTTTCTCTTTTAAATAAAAGCAGAAATAATATTGAGACACAGTTTTAGTTCCTTCTTCTGGTTAATTTACTGGTGACACAGAACATTAAGAACAGTTTCCAGAGAATTGTAAAAAAAATTTAATGTTGTATTACCATATCTATATATTTTTTGTTGCCTGTCAACTTTCCATTCATATTCTTCAGTATCAGATGCTAATATTGAATCATATGACAAATATTAAATGATCTTAAGGATTACAATATGCAAGTATAGTATACCTTTGCATATTTTAATACACTGTATTGGATATTATATTTTGTGAGTTTTTAGTTTTTATGTTAAAACTAATTCTGATTCAGTTATCTTTTGATGCAGAAAACATTTCTGAGACATATGGGAGGGGGGGGGAATATGAACTTTTGATCAAGAGTAATTTGTGCAAGCTCCTTTTGGGGGGATGACTTGCTTCTTAGTTTCTTTGTTTTATTATTTCTGAACTTCTGTTATAACTTGATACATGTTCAACTATATGGAATACATGTTTAGCTCTTTCTTCATATTTTAATTCACATTCCAAGATAGTTCTCGCTGGTTGTGCCAAAGTTAATTATACAAGCCAAATGGAAACCATGTTTCTAAGTATTTTTTCAATCGCTGGTCGTGCCTCAGTTAATTATGCAAGCCAAATGGAAACCATGTTTCTGAGTATTTTTTCAACATTTCTTGCACATTTTAAAGTCCGTTGCAAGTTATATATCTTCTTGGACTACTTGAAATAAATATGAGAATAAATATTATTTTGCCTTTGACACTTATGATGGATTGGTAGTCTGCATTGGTAATTAATTGCAATAAATATGATTTACTCCTAAATGCTTTGAAGTCTTTTTGGCAACGCTGAACATGTGACAAGAAACATGTACCCCTGAGTATACAGCTTTCTGAAAAGAATTTCTTCACTTAACACCATCTTAACAATAACAAGGATTTGAGGCATTTTTAATCATATTCAAAATGCAGAATATTGCTGCAAATTGCAATAGTTCTTCAATTTTGATTCTCTTCAGATAACAAAACCATCTAAATGTGTATTGTTCAACATTTTTGCTAAATTGTACAATTGAATAAAATTGCATGACGACAATTTGTTCTGCAAGATATGTATATATATATACTCATGCTTTGTTATTTATAATACAGAATTAAACTATAATATTTAATTAAATTTAAGAAAGTGGAAATTAAAAATTTTGTATACAGTTTGAAATATTAATAGTCTGTTTTATGCAAAGATTTTAGAACTGAAATTAATTTATTTAATTTTCCAGGCAGGAGCTACAGTTCCTCCAGGTAAAATTTTGTGTAACCATTTGCTTGCATATGTAGTTTTATATATATATATATATATATATATATATATATAATTTCCCTCTCTCTTCCTTTTTATTTATTTTTTAGATGTTCTTTACAGAATCAGTTTTATAAAACCTGTAGAATAAGTAATAAACAAAATGAGTTTCTTTATAATAAGTCTTTTTTTTTCTTTCCCCCCCTCAAAATTTTATTTTTAAGTTGCAGCCTTTACAGAGATATTATTATAAATGTAAAATGACTTTTACGTTTCATTTATTATTATGCTTTGTGTACTATTCTCTTAGTTTAAAATAATCTTTTAAGTGCTTTAAATTGAGAATTCAAGGCTCAATTTATTTAGCCAGTGCAACTTAAACATTTTGAATTATTACTTGGCAGTACTGTCACTTTTTTGAAATATTTACAAGAATTTTAATTTGATTAAGAAACAGATAGTGCAAAAATTCAGATTATTTGTGTTGAAATCTAAAAGTTTCAAATGTATAGTTTGATCTAAATGCAGAAGATATCCAGTTAAGAAGCTAAACCGTCTAGGCTTTCAAATTTATTAAATATTATAATTTTGATCATGAGGCTTTTTAGAAAAATATATGAAATCTAATTTTTTTATATGAGTGCTTCTCTGAAAAGAATTCCACTTGTTATTTTTAAGAAAACAAATGTTTTCAGCCCAAAATGCCTTGTATTCGCTGTAACTTACTGTACATGTTATGGTCTATGGTAGATGACCTGGAAATACATTTACTAGAGTTATTTTGTGTGCATGTCGACATAGATTATTTTTTCTGCCTTGCAAATAGTGTCTCCCTTTCTACTAACTTTAGTAAACCTTCATATTCAGTGTTTAACTGCCATTAGCATCAGTGAAATTCTGCTGCTGAAAGAGAAAGATCGTTTAATATTTTTAAAATAGATTTTGAGCTTCATGATTGTCTGAAGGGCCTCATTAACTTAATACTAATTGAATGAATTAAACTTGGTAAGGTTAAACTGCAAGGGGAAGAAGATGAGCATAAAATTTTATATTACTAATATTAGCATAAAATTTTATATTACTAATATCAGTTTTAAAATGTAGAATTCGGTTTTTCATATTTATTAACTCTACATTTCTTGAAAATGCTGTGAAATCGATGTAAAACTAGGGAAAAAAATATTCATTATCATTAATTAAACAAAGTTTCTTATTTAAAAAAATAGTTAAATATTTTTATATCTGTTTTTATTTATTTAAATGGTACAAATATTAAATATAAATTCTCAGTTTCATATAAGCACGATACAATAAGTATAGTTTGATGAATGAAATTTTAAGAGAATTTTTCTTTCAGCTAAACTACATATTTCTTTGGCATTGTAACCATTTATAAAAAAAAAAAAGGGAAGTTTTTCCTCATAATGAAAATATGAATAAATGCAGAATCAATAAACAGATTAAAGTTATGCATTTGTGTGATCCATTGAAGAAAAAAGAAAGGAAAGCATAAATTGTTGATTCTGAAAATGAAATTATTTTGGGTCATTTTAGGTTTTGGAAAAATAACTGCAAAATTTTTCATGGACTTTTCCTTAAAATAAATATGTATTCACAGTTTGAGGTGTGGAGTCATTTGGGGAAAAAAAATCTGTGTGTCGTTTCAAGAAAGGTGTGATTTTAAACTCCCCCCCCCTAAAAAAGTTAAAGATGTAATGCTATGTGAAAATTGAAAATTTAATAGTATTTCTTCAAAACTCTTCTTTTAAAAAAGTGAAAAATGAAATTTAGATTTGTCTATTGGTCAGCTGGAACCAGAGAAACACAGTTGTTTGTCTTCAGCCTTATTGTTGGTGCATCGGCTTATTACAATGTAAATTCTTTATCATGTTCAAAATTTGGATCAAATTGGACCTTACCAATTAGATGTTTAGTACAAGTTATGTATAGTATTTATTGTTATTTTATGTATTTTTAAATTATATTTTTAGCTCCTTTACCAAGCCAGAGTGGAAAACTGAGTGATTTAAAAAGAGGTAAATTGACATTTTGGCAGATTCTGCCTTTATATCTTGAACCTTTTGCATATTTGAGAATTTAAAATAAAACTGTAAATGTAAACTCCTTTGCTATGAGTACTATTTTCAAATGTACGATCTAGTTACATGGTTATGTTTAATTATTTTATGCAGTTTACCTTTCGTAATTCATTTCTTCTTACATTATCATGCAAGTCATTAAAAGTGTTACAAAAATAAATAAATAAATTTTAAAAAATTAAAAAATCTGAAAGCTTTCAGATTTTATATTAAGCCCAAGGGGTATTTTATGTGTTACCTTTATTTATTAAATATTATGTTCTTCGCACTTAAACCATGAAATTCTGTTCAACAGCAATATCACAAAATATTTAAAAGAGCATATTTGTAGAATTTCCAATGCACAGTCTTGCACGCTGGAAATAAAAATGTTTCTTCCCACCACCACATACAGTATTGCCATTGCTCGCTTTAAAATTGTTGAATTTCTTAATCAAAAACTCATAAATGCTTTACAAAGTATGAAATAGATAATAAAACGGGTTCCAAGTTTGGACTTCCAGATGCCCATATTCGGGTGAGAAACATACATACATGTATGTAGATTTTTCATCATTTAATTTCTTTAAATATAATACAAGGCGATAATATTTGGTAACAACAATTTACAAAGTGATTCGACATTTATAGTGAATCAACGCAAAGTGCCAAAATGAAATTAATAACCCTTCTGGGCAAATTGGCCCTTTGGGCTAAAAAGAGCTTTGCTAATTCTTGTAACCAAATTTAATCACTTGCGTTTAAATATATATGCATTATAAAAAATATTTTGCAGTGTAATGGACTCAGTTTAAAATTTTGACCCTTTCCGGCACTCTTACCTCAAGCATTGTGCAAAACAATTTCAACAACAAAAAAAAACAAAAAAAAAAAGGTTGGCAGTCTAATCAGGCCTAGAATTCTACTGAGGTAAAATTTTATAAAGACCGCATATACTGTTCTCAATTCTGTGGGTGCGCCCGAAGCGGCCTCACTGAATGAATAGAGCTTCGAAAAGACTGTTGATATGAGGACTGCTGGGAAGTGCGTAATACAATAAAAGAGTTTGCCTACAATTAAAAAATACTAGATTCTGATTACCATAGCAAATTTAGCATTACCCAGGTTGCACCATTCGGTGCTATGGCCTTCTACTATACACCCCCCCCCAAAAAAAGCTCTTGGTTATAATGATGATTATATACATATAAATGAAAAATGATAACTTGGCTATATGATATTTATATTATTTACATTTCATACTTTCATCCTTCCCCCCCCCATGGTTGTATTTTTTGAAGCAAGTGACACCACCATTGAAAAAGCACAACCCAACATTGCATGTTTTGCACTTGTAGTGGGATCCTTATTGTATTCATTATTTGTAGGCAATTTGTTTTGCAGTTTCAGTGCTTCAGAAATGGTCAGCCCTTTCCGATCCATTTTCAAAATAATTAAAAATCAGGAAACGTAAATTAATATTATGTCTACAATTAAGAAAATATAAGCCATAAAATTAAACATCGACAGCTCAGAATTATCAAAATGTAGAGCTAACAAAACTTCTTTCAACGAAAAAGGAAAAAAGAGAACTAGTTTAGTGAAAAATCGAAGAGCTATCTTATAAAATTACCCCTGACCTTCAGAAAAGCATGGCAACAGTTTCTTAGTTGATTACCAAACCTCTCCTCCAAAAAGAAAGAAAAACAGGAAAAGAAACACAAGCGTGCCCCAACTTTCTGTTGTGAATGAGCTCACCGAAGGACACTGCTGTGAAACAAAGGTACAGATGTTGTTATGGTCCTAGTGTTTCAGTGATCCCACTCTGGGCACACCAGATGTTCATCATTTGATTTTAGGGAAGATTTCAAGATAAAAATTTAAAATTAATGTAGACTAAAGAGACCAGCATACAGCTAAGAAAATAACATAGAAATTTCTTTTCAAACAATTCTTTTATATCCTAAAAAATTTGGAAGGTTTCTATGAAAAATGATTAGCTAAAATGTATGGACTGGTTTGTGTTGTGCTGCCATATAATGTAAATAAAGAAGGTTAAAAGTGAGTTATAGTAGCCTATAAAACCTTTCGATTCAATTTTTTGGGTGTGCCTAGATTTGGTTAATTGTGCCGGAAAGGGTTAATCAAATATTAGTGAAGTTGCTAAGCAATTGAAATTCAATAATTTGCATTTAATAAAATATGAATTTTGAATTTTCTGAAATTTTGAATTGACACAGTTTCTCAAAATATTAGCTATTCTGCTGTACAAAAGAAAAATTTTTAATTTTAGCAGAGATTTTTTAGTACCTCAACCTGTTAAGTTTACAAATTTTGATGTTTCTGGAAGAACTTATCAAGAATGATACCTAATGAAAAGTTATTTTGAAATCATAATGAATGCAACTGTTTAATACTGTTTTTCGTGTTATTAATCAGATGTTTAGAAATATATGATGATGATTAATTTATTATAATTAATGAATATAATTAATGAAAAATATGATGATGAATAATTTTTAATGCACAGCTTGGTTACTACGTTTTTATTTGGAAATAAATTTGTTGATGTTAATTTAACAGATCAAATATTAGAAAAATTATCAGTTATTACTTACGAATGGTGATTCAGTATACCTTAATAATCACTGCAAGGTGACTGATTCTTGAGTGATTATTCAGTGTATCTTAAAACTACTTACCACAAGGTTGCTTATTTATTGCTAAAATAATTATATGAAAATGCTGTTATAAATGGTGTTGAAATGCTTATTACTAAAATAAAGATAGCCAGATTTTTAATGAGACATGTTTATTCTTTGTTTTTATTTTTCATGCTATTTTTTTTTCTTTCAGTTTTTCAACGAGTGGCATGTTTCCCCTGTGAATACTTGATAGATGTTCACAAGCTTCTTTTTATGTCGGATTGTGATGTAGGTAACATTTTATATAATTTGAGTTTTTGGTCTAGACATGCATTGCAGAGTTATAAAATAGTTTAAGTTTTTACATCTGTTCTTCAGATTTTTTTTTTTTTTTTTTCAGTCAGTCATATCTGTAACTTTCAGTTATCAATTTTTTTGTCCTCATTCAGAATTTAAAATATTAGTAATGCATGCTGTAATACATTCCAGGCTTGGTCATGAGTATGTAGTTAATGGGAGTAAATAAAGTCAAGTGAAGTTTGTTTCTTTATATGGATCATGTACATGCTGATGCATTCTTCAGTGTTGCTTAAATTACTTAAGCAGTTGGAGATAACTCTTTGAAGACCATAACGCCCCAGGCAGCCTTTCATTCAAAGCACAGTGACCACAAACAGCCGAAATTCCGGTGTTTTCCTTCCTTCCCCAAAGTATGCAGTAGCAGGTGCAGTTCCCCCAAATGTATTGTGTCAGTTTATTGCAAACAGCTTGCTCTAAAAGGATTGTATCATTTTGAATCATCAAAGGATTGTGGATTCATATCATTATTTGTTAGAAGTAGAAAGGATGTCATTTGAAATTTTTACTCTCCTTTGTGCATTAATGGGTGGAATGGAGGGGAAATTGCTGTTACTCTCAAAAACTTTCAGGCAGTTCATTATTTCTACATAAATGTTAGCGAAAGCTTCTGTTTTCAAAGAATTAAGTGCATTCTGGGGGAAATGTTATTTTCCTTATTGTTAGTTTTCAGTGTTTTATGAAGGCCAAATATGGACCAAACTGTTAACAGAAGCAGAAAAATTTTTAGCATTAAATAAATATTTTTTCACTTAAGTTGTTGCATTTTTATTTTCCCAAAGTAACTCTCTAAAAATGTTGCTGCTACTTTTTAGAAGTTAATTATTTATAAAATCCTTATAATTGGTATGTCTTGAACAAGTTAGTTATCTCAAAAATTCACTGGAAGAATTTGAAAGTTGCTATGAGGAAATTATTGTAATAATTCACTTAAACGATTATCAGAAAATTGTGGTATTTTCAAGGTAGAAAATAAGCTTTCATTTCAGGTCAGACCAGAAGAATCTTTTACTAGGAATTGACTAACTAAAAAATCTTACTCCTGAGTGACGATATTCAGTATCTGCAAATTTACAAAATTTTGATGGTTTTTGTTTACTTATTGTAAAAATGCCTGTATATTTTAATTGCAGTCATTTATTCATGTCTGTATATAAGTTTTAAATGGGGAGAAAGCATTTTTTCAATACTATTCAGTACTTTTTTATACACATAAGGTGTAAAATGAGTGTTTCTGGTAGTTATGCAGTTGGCTATTAAAAGTCCAAAACCAGGCCAAATTTGCTTCTGATGTTAATAATTATCTTTGACAGTATGCATTGTTATACAGCTTGGTGATAGAGAGGATGACATGTCACCATTGATGTTAACCATGTGTCGGTTAATGCCTTTCTGAGAGGATGCCATACTTCATCAGTAGTAGTAGTTCTTACATATATAAAAAGTTTGGAAGAATGTGGCTGCAAGTTTTATTTCCTTAAATGTTCGTATTTTACATTGATTCTTAAAAAAAGTGGAGTATATTGTGAAAACAGTTTCAGCACTACGAGCACTTAATAAAATAAAATTTGAACTTTTTATATAGTTCTTGTGTAAATAAAATTCTAATTTGTACAATATTCAGCTATTCTTTACTAATTCAGTGTAGTTCCATCTCGTATGCAAAATTTCCAACAGGATTTGTTGTTAATATTTATTCTGAGCCAGGCACAAGTTTAGCTAATGAGTGCAGAACCATTAATTGCTTTAAAAAAAAAAAAAAACTTTTGTATTGTAGTTGTGCTCCATATTTGTCGAAAATTTTTTTAATTTCCATTATTAATAAGCAATGAAAACTGATCTGTCAGTACATTCATAAATGAAATATCTTTGTGCCTTTTTTGCATATGAACAGTTGGATATTTTTTGTATAACCTGATGAACACTTAAATGTTTGGAATTTTTACTTTTTGTGACCATGGAAAAAATTAAATATTATATTAGTTGAGTTCTGAACTGAGAAAACTTATTCTTAGAAATATATTGAATACTTTGAGAAATAAAAAATCTACATCCGCATATAAGTTATAATCAAAAAGTTCACAGGAAGTGTGGTAAAACATGGAGAGATTTAGCTGGAATTTTAGCACAATACTATATAACTTTATAAGAGATTTAATCATAACAGTTGATAGGTAGATCAATAAGTTTTTCTTTTTTTAAATAACCAGAGTCATATGTCTGAAACAGAAGTTGATACGGTACATTCATAAAGTTTTATTTAAGGTATTGAAAGAAAATGCTCCATTTTATGCTAACACTGCCAGAATTTTACCATGGATGAGCTTACTTTGAATGCAAATAGTCTTCCACTCAACCATCCACAATATTCAGGAAGGAAATTATCAGAGTAGGAAAAGTTATGTCTGGTAAATAAGTGGCTATTAGATATGTTTGCAGAGATTGCAGGTACTTCATTATTTAGCAATGCAAAATTATATTTTCAAAAAATAGCTTTTTTTTAAATTAAAAAAAGTCTTGAATCATTGAACAGTTAACGTAAGCTCAAAAAACAAATTGTGAGAGGTTTTTGGAGTAACTTTCAACCTTGCTTCAGCAGAATTTGGAAGCATTTTTACACAATATTTGATTATGGATAAAGTGTGGGTCCTGACACTAATTTTTAAAAAGAAAGAGGCGGAGACCTTGAAACATACTGTTGTCGTGTGAATAAGAAGATTCATGAATCTCATTAGTGATTCATGTGACTTTGTCCTTTTTAAAACTCTACAGAAAAACATTCACAGGATGCATTTTGTATGTGGGGAATAATATGAATACATAAAATGTTGAATTTTAGAACTTGGAGAAACATATACTGCCATACTAGGGAACTACATATATGTAAGATATAAGAAAATACAATAGCTTCTTTAAAAATAATTGGCGACCTCAAATTTAACTATTTTAGATTTGGTGCTCTCCCCCCCCCTCCCCTTCCAAATTCATCTGTTCTCCTAAATTTAAGATCTTTCCGTGTTAACACCGCTTGAAAAAGGCAACTAAAACTAAAATTGGCCAATCATAAGTTATCTCTACTATTGCATTTACTTCGAATACCACTCGTAAGCTAACTGCGTCATCTTCCTTTTCCTAGCTTCCACCACACCATGCTGCTTTGCTTCCCTGCCTAAAATGCCTACGACTTATTTTTTAAAATGGTGTACATAGGATTTGCTGTAATTCATTATGATTGGAGAAATATCTACTAAGATGATTTTATATATTTGAAAATAAAGATTGGTGATTTGTTGAAATCCAGTTTCGTCATCTCCATCTCTTCTTGCCACTCAGCCATCACAACTACACATCAAAATACATACATAAAGTCTGTCAGGATCAACCTGGTGGAAGTTTTCCCAGTTGGAATAGCTTCCAACATTTCCAAGTAACTGCGAAAGAAAAATTAGAAAAGAGTGTTTAATGCTGAACATTATCGAACTTCTTATTTGTTGTCCCCCTTCATTTGCCTGTTCATGATTTGTTTGTGATTCCGAAGATATTTTGCTCCAGATCTGCTGCATCAGTTTTTCTGTGTTAAGGCTGTACTTATAGTGAAAAAAAGTGATTATTAAGTGTCTCAGTGATTTTGGGTGTTTGTGCGTATAGAAAAGTGCGCAGCCACTGAAAGGTAATAACGAAGAAACCGTAGTTACTCCCATTATATGTATGGTGTTAAAATATATATAATTTATCAATATGGAAATTAGTATCATAAATATTTGTGTATGTTACATTTAATTATAAGTAATGATTATGTAAAAGTTTTTATTTGTGATACTCTGTAATAACAAGAACCTTCCCTAAAAAATTATGATTATGTGAACTCTTAAACAAAAAGACTTTTGTACTAAAATGTTAAAAAATTTAGAAGGCCTCTAAAAAGTAAATTTATTTTTAAAAATTGATATTCAAAATTTATACTTTGTAGTTAATTGATTATGTTTATCAAAATTTTATGATTTGCATTTTTTTTTTTTTTTTTTTTTTCCATTTGCTAGTACTTTAATGCTTTTTCTTTAAAAAGGCTTCTCTGTCACTATGCCTTTTCTCCTTGAAGGGGGATATGTAAGATATAAGAAAATATGATAGCTGCTTTAAAAATAACTAACTGGCAACCTCAAAATTAACTAGTTTAGATTTAGTGATCCCCCCCCTAAAATCATCTTTCCCCCCAAATTTGAGATCCTTCCATGTTATATAACACCGCTTGAAAAAGGCAAATAAAACTAAAATTTAACCAATCATAACTTGTCTCTCTCTCTTTTTTTTTTAAATCTAAAAACAAAACTTTTAATGTTTTAGGAAATGATTAGGAAAATGCATTTACAATGTGTCTAATTTTTTTATGTAGTTTTAAAACATTTTAATTAGCAAGGAATTTAATTTATCTTTTTATTTATATAGCCCAAAGTCATTAGACAAAATATATTTGGATTTAAAGGATTTTCTTTTGGTGTTGATTCTCCAGAGTTTCAGCAGAGAAAGATGTACTTGGAGTAGTAAGTATTGTTACATGTATACATGTTTGTAATGGATTAAATGCCCATCAAATCGATGATAGATTGATTAAATTTATTTTCCTGAAAGAAACAATTTACAGTTCTGTAACTTTTCACAGATGTATTTGTTCATCTGTTCTCAGTATGACAAAGAAAAATCAGTAGTTACCTCTTTAAACTGCTCATAATGTTAAACACAATGCAATGCAAAGCATATCTAAAGAGCGAAGCTTCCATGGAGATATCTCAATATTCCGAACTAAAAACAGCACTGATGTTGTCTCCAGTCTTATATAATTTTCCGCACCTGTTAAGAAATTCAGTATCTTTTTATTTCTTGAAATTGCTGGAAGGCATGTGCAGTTAGTTACACAAGGTATAATATGGTTACAGTTACAAAGGGATAGTATCAGCTAATTATTCAGGTTTCAGACCAAAATGTCGCCAAATGGTCTCTAAGGCAACAAAACTTGGTCGCTAGAACCAGGGCTATCTTGGATTCGTGGAGATCTCAATGTTAAATGGGATATGCTCCTGTAATCTTATTTTTCTGCTGATGCTTAACTTTCTTGAAGCCTTTCATGTTGCATTATATTGAGTTGTCCGGAAATTTCAAGCCGATTTTTGGTAGGTGGCATAACAAGAGGTCTGAATATATCAGAACGATTGATGAAAACAAATGACATGCATCTATATTGTAAAAGACTGTACTTCAGGCATATTTGGAAACATATTTTTCTTCTACCCGAAAGGCAAAAATGCTACGCAATCAGCAAATAAGATGTGTGCTGTTATGTAGAAGGTGCTATAGCTGTAAAAACTGTGTGGAAGTGGTTTGCTAAGTTTAAAGCTGGTGATTTCGACCTTAAAAATCAAGAATGCCCTTGTAGGCCTTCTGCCACAGATGAAGATAAGATTAAAACACTGTTTGACACCTAAATTAGCATAAATGCTAAATATATCAAAATTCACCATTCCGCAACCATTAACCTACATAAACCGTTTCAACGTATGGGTTCCCTATTATTTAACAGAGAAAAATATGATGCTTTCTATTTGTGACTCTCTTTATAAACACAGCAAAGAAACACAATTTTTGAAGCAAGCAGTGATGGGGTATGAGAGATTAGATGATTTATAAAAATACTGAGGGAAAGTGGTCTTGGGAAAAGCGGAATGAACTCCAAAACCCGGTATTCATCCAAAGAAAGTCGCGCTGTGTGTCTGGTGGGATTGAAAAAGGACCTTGTATTACGAGCTTTTACCAAACAACGAGACAATAAATTCTGAGAATTATTGTTCCCAGTTAGACGAATTGAAGACAGCTATTGAACAAAAATGTCCAGAAATAGCAAATTAGAAGGGGTGTTTTGTTTTATCAGAGCAAGTACGTGGCCTTATGTGATTTTGATAACTGGACAAAAGTTGTTTGATCTTGGTTGGCATGTCATACTCTATCCACCGTACTCACCAGATCTTGCACTTTCTGATTTCCACCTTTCATTATCAACTATTTCGATCATTACAAAATTCTTTTATTGGAAAAACCTTATTGGTTGAGATAAATTATCACATAGAATAGTTACTCGCTGGAAAACCTGAGAGATTCTAGAAGGACGGAATTTCACATTGCCTGAAAGATGGGAAAAGATTGTAGAACAGAATGGCACCTATATAATTTAATAAATGTATATTAAAATTTAAATCTTCTGCATTTCAATTATCTTTTATTATCACCACGAACTTTCCATTCAACTCAAAAACTATTATGATTTTAAATATTTCATTAAAATTATTTACATATACAATTATTACATATATTGAAAATGCAACACCAAGAAGGAGTGGTCAGAAATTTATGCACATTTTAGAATAGCCACACGTCACTGAGTTATGTGAATGATGTTAAATGCACAGCTCTCCGATGCATGTGAAGTAAGATATAAAGGAAGGAATGTGCAAAATGGGCAATATCCATGTCGTTATTTCTGCCAGACGAATTTTTGAAAAAGGTTTCTGTCCCGGAGGATACGTGTAATAGAAGAGAATGGCTAGGCTACCGTCAACAAAGGCACTTCAGCAGATAGACGTTTTTACGAGGGGTTTGGTGATCGGACTGAGAAGGGTGGGTTGGTCTTTACGTCAAATCGCAGCTGATACCCACATGGATGCGAGCACGGTGCATTGGCTATGGCGAACATGGTTGGAACAAGGAAATGTGGGAAGAAGGAGGGGTGCAGGTGCAGCCAGAGTGACGTCAGCATGCGTGGATCAATGCATCCGCCAACAAGCTGTGGCGGTCCCGCAAGTCACTTGTACCGCGATTCTGCAGCATGTGCAAGGTACACTGGATGTTCTCCTGTCGACCAGAACCATTTCCGGTCGATTGGTTGAACAAGGCCTGCACTCACGGCGTCCGTTGACCCCACAGCATAGACGCCAACGTTTAGAATGATGCCAGAGTGGAGTGATGTGGATGACAGAATGACGAAACATTGTGTTCTCAGATGAGTCACTCTTCTGTTTATCCAGTGACAGTCGACGCATACGTGTGTGGCGTTGCGTCGACTGTCACTGGATAAACAGAAGACAGATCTAATCGGGCTGTAACTGTTAAAAGCCCCTATGCGCGACAACATGGCATAATGGTTTGGGGCGCTATTGCCTATGATTCCAATTTATCTCTAGTTTGTATTCAGGGCACTATGACGGCCCAAACGATACTTGGATAATGTACTGCAACCGGTGGAAATCCCCTACCTTCAGGGGCTGCCTAACGCAATTTTTCAGCTGGATAACGCCTGACCACACAGTTCTCGCATCTGCCAACATGCTGTGCATGGTATACAGATGCTTCCCTGGCCACTGTACTCTCCTGACCTGTCACCAATCGAACATGTGTGGGATGTGATTGGACGCCGTTTACAAACTCTGCCCCTGCCTCGTTCAGAAGACGAATTGTGGCAAATGGTTGAAAGGGGAATAACCATCCCTCAGGACACCATCCGCACTTTCATTGACTCTATGCCTAGACGTGTTTCTTTTAGCATCACTGTCCGCGGTGGTCCTACATCCTACTGAGCTGATGCCGTTCTCGCTCTGTAGTCTGACTATCATTTTGAAATAAAGATCACTTATTGCTGCTTTCTGTCTCTTTTTCCAAATTTCACCACTTTCTGACCATTCCTTCTTTGGTGTTGCATTTTCAATGTCGAGCAGTGTATATAAATTTCATAGCAGTATTTTTTAGCTGTAGTTTGATAGTGTCCGACCTCGATATATAGGTGGCAGCACAAATCAACTGATCTGGGGGGACTTGTTTGTGTGTCTCATTTGATAACTTCCAGTCAAAGTTTCAGCTGTTTTGAACGTGATTTTTTTTGCTTGACATTTATTTTTGTGAGTTGATGTAACTATTGTTGTGAAAACGGAAAAAAATCTGTTATCAAACTGTCCATTAGATACTTGTTTTTGAAAGTTAATGTGCCTATAAAAATTAAAGAAGAGCTGGATGCTGTGTGTGGGTACTCTGCACCATCATTCACATCTGTGAAATTTTGTAGAGCTGAATGTAAATGTGGCTAATCCAGCTTAGGTGATGATGAACGTTAAGGAAGGCCAAAAACTGCAACCGCTGACGAAAACATCATTAAAGTTCACCAACTGTTGCTGGATGGCTGTCGAGTCAAGGTTAGAGAGATAGTAGATGCTTTGAGCATGTCCAAAGAACGTTTTTGTCACGTTTTGAACCACAATTTAGGTATGCATAAACTGGTTGTGCATTGGGTTCGCATTTGCTCACTTTGGACCCAAAACATATTCGAATGAACATATGCACCAGTGCAATAAATCAGTTTTTTTTTTTTTTTTTTTTTTCAATGATTAATCATTGTAATTAAAACCTAAATTCATCATTATGACCCAGAAACAAAAATACAGTCAAAACTGCAAAGAAGAAATCTGCTCCAAAAAAGGCAAAAACTGTTCCTTCTACTTGGAAAGTGATGGTGAATGTTTTCTGAGATAGCCATGGAATTATCTGAATAGATAAGGGAAAACCATTCTAGAACATTCTATGCAATGTTACTTGACAAGCTGAAGGCAGAAATTGAGGAAATACTGCTATGTGTGTGAAAGAAAAAAAAAAAAAAAAAATTGTTTCCTCATGACTGTGCTGTGTCTCGCATCTCACCAGTTGTAATGGCAAAAGTCCATAAATTATAGTTTAAACTGCTTGACCATGTACTCTATTTGCCAGACCTAGCTCCAAGTGACTTTTCTTTTCTTTCTTTCTTTTCTTTTTTTTTTTTTTTTTTCTTTTCTGTTCTCCAAACCAAGAGAAGCCTTGGAGAACAAAGATTTTCGTCAGATGGGGAAGTTATGAACTTCTTTAATAACTGTTTTGCAGAGAAAGATTCCACATATTATTTGGATAGGTTAAAAGTATGGAAGCATCTGTAGGAAAAATATATATAGGTTGAAAAATAACAATACTTTTGGAGAAAATTTTTCTTCTTTCATTGTTAGTTTGTAAACATTTCAGACAGTTAGACTTCAGCTGTATATTATTAGTACAGATGCTACTCATGCTTCTGTTTGGATCCTTCTTGGTCTTTGAAAAAATTAAAACCTTTTTTTTTAATACATAAAATTACCGAAACTCTCTAAGCAACATATGAGCATTGTTTATATTTTCCAGTATACTAATCATTTAGTCCAGATAGTGAATTTCATAAAAATGTTTGATATTTCCAATTAGACATCTTATGATTTAAATCGGAATAAAAAAAAAAAGAAAATATTCTTAAGAATAGTGTTTATTGCTTTGAAATTGTTTGGTTACTCAATAACCAGCAGATAAAACTCTAAAGTTAATTACTGAATGGCAATATACTGGCACATGGAAGGTAAAAATATTTTATTTCAAGCAGTGGCAGACACATTGCTCTTAAGTAGTTAAGTTTGTTTTTTAAAATTGAAACATAAATATGCATTTTGCTCGATGGCAACAGTCTGTCGTGTGAAATTTTAAAAAAAGGTTTTGTTTTCAGCTGTGGTGCTGTTTTCACTTTTAATTACCTAAATTTTTTAATCAAAAATTCGTTAAATTCACAAAAAAAATATGAAATAAATTGAAAAAAATCAAAATCCAGGCTTTAACCCTTTCAGGACCAGTGTTGCTTATGCGCGACGCAGCAGTTCCACTCTTACTATCCCAATGTTGGGTATATGTGAAGAGCTCCTATCAATCTCTTCAGCCCAGCATCTCATATACGGAACTTCTCGTATACTGAAAACAGAACTTTTATATATATATATATATATATATATATAATTTTTAAGTGTCGGTAGATGGGGCTAAATGGCAATTATTCTCACATCGGTTAAGTCGTGTGGCTTTTGACCTTCATGTATGAGCATCAATTTCTGACCTTCATGTATGAGTATCAGTTTATGTTCTGAGCTTCTGGTTTTGATTTAGTGGTGTAAACAAACTGGGAATCACAGCTCTCTAGGGACACCAGTGTATTTATTTTGTTAAATTTTTTTTTGCTTTGTTTTCAATCTTTGCGTTTTTCGTTATTAAAACGTGGAGAAATGCATTCAGGGCCTTTTATTTTATTTTGTGTGTGTGTTAGAGAATCCTGCTTGCTACTTTACTTTGCTGATCTTGTAACTTGTATCTACAATTTTTAAATAGTGAAAAAATAAATTCCATTGCTAAATAACTGAGATTAAATTTTGAAAAATTAATGCAGTTCGTAGATTATACTTTTGTTTCAAGATTTACACTATTTAATTCTTCATTGTCCAGATTTTTTTAAGGATGTATTTGACTGAAGCTTGTAATTCTGCAGTGATGATTTAGTATTCTTTAAATTGTACTGTATATAAATATGAATGCTTATTATAGTATTTTTCAGTTTAACATTTCACAGTTTAAGAAAAATATCCAGTGTCCTAACTACTAGATCAGTTGATTTAAGGAATTCTACCAAACATGAGTTGGCAACTCATTTAACGCAGGTGCTTGCTGAATATTGTAATACTTATGTAGGTATGTATGATGACTGTTTTACAAAACCTTTTTCAATTCTTTTTTATTGAATTGCATAAAATCCTGTTACTCCATTACTTAATTTTAAGCATTATGCAGAATACTTCCAGTCTGTTTTTTACAAATTTTATTAATCTGATAACTCCCTCCCACCTTCTCTCAGATTTTGTTATTTGCATTCATGAGCAGCATGTTATTGCAGCACGTCTGATTTTAATCAGGATTTCCACAAAGAGATTTAAAAACTTGCTGTTTATAATCAAATTCTGTGTGTTCATGGGTCTTATCCACTCTAATATTTAAGAGCTAAAATTTGAAGGGTACTGAATATTATAAAATTTTTACTTCCTTGTATGAAGTAAAGGAAGAAATTGGAATTGCGAAAAATTTCTAGTATCGTATTTCAATGAAAATATCAATTTTGACCGCTCTTGAATCCATTTGCATGATGTTTTTTTGCATGTCATCTGTACATATGGATAGAATAAAGGACTTTTTTTCCAAAACTCATTGTAAAATTAATTCAGAAGAGATTTTTTTTGGGACATCTCTGTATGTACGTGTCTTGCATAACTCAAAAACGAGTTAGAATGTTGAAATTTTGTAGATGGTACTGCTATAACATGTAATTGTTCACCTCCCTTTTTCGTTTTAATCGGCCAAATGGAACATTTATATCAATAGTATTTATTATATGTTTGGTGAGGTATATATATATAGAGAGAGAGACACACACATATATATATATACCTCACCAAACATATATAAATAAATGTTGTTAAGATCTGATTAAGGTTTTTATGCCTTTAGTTAATCTGCATGCAATAACTGTAGAATTATTAATAATTTAAAAGTTTAAGTGGAGTTAAGCTTAACGTGGCCTCCATATGTTTACATCTGAAACTCTTTGCAGAATAGTGAATTAAATCAGTTTGTGCACCAGTTTCAGTGCCTTTTTGCTCAATGTGTCCTAAAGTTAATTAGCTGGTCAAGTTCCTTTATTTGCATAAAAACTAATTCTAAAAAAATTTTATCATCTGTTTATAAGTGAATTTGTTGTTTGATTTTTCTGTATTTTACAGTTTTTAATAAAGATTGAGTTTTCATGTATTTTGGCTTTGCTGCGAAGTGATAACCGCAATAATTAAATTAGAAAGTCATCTCTAATGAAATTTGAGGAAATACTGTAATTTCCGGAAGAAAGGCCGCATCAGCGTAAACGCCGCAATAGATTAAATTGCGCGTGACATTGTCGTGGGCCATATAGATGCAAAATCTCAACCTAAGTCCTGATATATGACATATCAGTTAATAAAAATGCATGAAATGAAACCATAACTCAAAAATGAATTAAAGAAATGTTGAAAATATATTAATGTTCACGTATGTACTTATATTTACTCACTAAAGAAGTCCTTATTTGTAATACTCAGACTATATTATAAAAAATGTTGCAACAACGAAATATTAAATTTGTATGACAAAAGGAAATTTTAAATTTTACTTACAAAAGGAATTACAGCAAACTATACATCACATGAAGCCATCAAAATCTGATTCTTCACTCTCTGAATTAAAAAGATTTAGTAAATCCTGATCGAAGTCTTCCAGATCGTCACATTCATCCTCTTGGTTTACAGTCTCTTTATCTAAGGATATAATTTCAGCTTCATTGAACCCTGCTGTTATTGACGATGTTTTTACCAATTTCCATGCACTTCCTACCCGTTTTGCAACTTCTTCATAAGATGCTCTACGCATTTTATCGCTTTTGGTATACATATGCAATCCTTCACTCGTCCAACGCTCCCACCGCTTTCGGACTTCAGCTTTGAAGGATTTATTACCTGACAAATCTAATGGTTGTAAGATTTTTGTCAAACCACCAGGAATTATTGCTACGGTCATAGACAATTTTTGACATCAAATTTTCACTGACTCAAGTAAATGAGCACGCATGGAATCCATTACAGTCAAAAGTCGTTAATCCGGACTCGTCGGGACTTCGATTCCGGATTATCGATTTTTCCGGATTATAGATCATCAGTTTAAATCTCGTAAGATGGCATGCAGAAATTCTAAAATTAAAAATATGAAACCGTAATTTATGAAATAAAGAACAATTATGATCTAAAGGGTATCAAAATTTGTGAAAAGAAAAAGCTTAATATTTATTTGTTTACTTTATTAAACATTTCTTTCAATGTAAGTTGTTTAAGTTTTGCTTCGTTTCATGTGATAATACTTTCTCTTTAATTCTATTAAACAGACATAATTTCTTGTTCAGTTACAAAAGTTCCGCAGTTTCAAGTCCTATAATTGCTGTGTCAAGAACACCGACTAATTTGTCAATCGAAATTTTTTGTTTTCAATAACCTCTGTCACTTTTCTTCGCTATCGGAAGCGAATTATAATGACGAAGAACTTGTTTTAAATCATATCAAAGACAGAGCATATCGAGATGAAATACTACATTTGGTAAGGAATTATAAGCCAAATAAAATAAAAACATCTGCTGCTGAAGATAAGATAGGATAGTGCTGACAATCAACTTCCAATTCATTACGCGCCCGCCGCCGAGCAGCGTGAAAAATTGATAAACAGATTTCGGATTTCAAAACATACTTTCGCTTTAGATCCTTTACATATTAACAAATATATATCGGAAATTCTATTTGATATAATCGAAAGTTTAAGCTTACTTTTATAAAATTGCTCTTACAGTCTGCAAAAAATAATAAGCCGGATGCAATTCGAAAATTAAGGAACAACGCAACCATCAACATTAACTGAAATAGATAATTAGATAATTTTAGCTTATACGTCCATTATACATAAAATGCGCACGCGAAAACGTATTCTGCACTTGCGCACACTCATATGCGCAGTCGTAAAAGGTCTTACGCGCACGCGTGAACGCCTCTGCGCATGTGTCAACGCGGCGCATGCGCAGAAAGTTTTTAGTTTTGATGTGCAGATTATAGATCATTCCGAATTATGGGTGTCCGAATTAACGACTTTTGACTGTATCAATAACCCTTTTGGTTGGAAAAAAGATCCCTTATGACACTGCCAACCTTTTTGTAGCCACTCATGCATGATTGTTTTGCACATCCAGCCATTCTCGTTTGCACAAATAATTATGTCATTTGGAAAATCTCCCTTCGGAATAGTCTTTCGGTTAAAAATGATCATCGGCTTTAGCTTGTCACCGTTTGCGGCACAAGCTAACACACATGTAAATGATGTTCTTTCATGCCCCGTTGTAAGCACAGATACAGTTTTTGCACCAGTTTCATCAGGAGAGTCGAAAGCTAATGGCGTTTCATCCATTTTTATTATCTGTGACTGAAGAAGTTTTTTTGGGGGGTCAATAATATCATCACATATTTTAGAAAAGATGCCTTTTTATCCTGCCAGTCCATTGGTAATTGTTGCTTGACTGTTGTTCTAGTACGCACAGAAATATATTTTCTTTTCATAAATCTGCTACACCAGCAAGGCCCTCCTTTGAAATCATTTATGTTCATTTGTTTTGCTATAAATTTTACTTGTAAGCAAATTTTTACATTCCCTTTCCTTGTTGGTCCTTTATCCAGTTTGCAAGGTCGTCCTCTAAATTCGGCCACCTTACAGTACCACTTCTTTTGGATCGTTTCTGTTGTGGCATGTTTTTAAGAAGTTCTTTTTCGGTTCTCCAACGCCGAGTACATCTCTCGTCCACTTCAAACTCTCGAGCTGCTGCTCTGTTTCCAATTTGTTCAGCACATGAAATTACATTAAGCTTAATCCTTTAACTGTCAAGTTATTTTGATGATTTGGGTACACAAATTGTCAAATTTTTTTATTGCAAAAACCAAATGTTTAGTACAAAATAAAATGTACTTAAGTAGTTAAAAATTGATATTTTGACGTACATGGGTAAAATTTTGAAAGTTTTGTAGCCACTGCATATTTTCTTTGAGGCGGCTGTCACTCAACATGGCAGTTACAAAGTTCGCTTCTAGTGGAGCATTATTTTCTAAAAATGGGGGGAGGGGGGAAAAAAAAACTATTTTCTAAAACATAAATAAATAAATAAAAGTGAATACCTATTAGTAGTTCAGTAATTCAGTCTTATGTGGTACAACTGGAAACACTTTTCCAAGCACAAACCAACTCCACAATCACTACACCAGAATCATGATTCCTTCCTTATCTTTTCCCCATTTTTATCCTTTTTCGAACAACACACTTTGCACTGTCTTGTAGGCTCACATTTCGCAGGAATAGGAGGAAAATGGGATATAAAATGTCGTTCAGTAAGACGGGCAGGGTTATCTATTGTAGGTGGTCTGCCAACATTCTTTTGTCCAGAAGCTGCATCATCATATTTATGTAAAAGCTCTTCTACAACTTGGATTCGAAATTCTAAAAATGTAATACGTTTCCCAACTACATTTTTATAGAGCAAATATGAGTTCCAGAGTACCTTGTCTAGTAAATGTAAAAATATCTTTCTTATAATAAATAAAATATCTTATAATATTCTGACGTTTTCGGATTGTTGGATGAAAGGATATTTCCTGATCACAGCGATCTACACCACCCATAGTTAGATCGTAATTAGAAACAATCTTCGGCTTGAGTATATCGCCATTTTTTATTTTTAAGGCTGACCATGGAAGTATCATGAATACTGCTCATCAAACACACATCCTTCATCTTTGGTTGAAGAATCTAAATCATCTATATAACGTTTCAAAGAACTGGACGCTATTTTACAACAAAAAGATCCCATGCACCTTGAACTAAATAACCTCTAACCTTTGAAATCTTCAGTAAAGTGCTGTCATCTATTGAACTGAGCGTACATTAACTTTTCCCGAAATACAGTCGGGTTTGACAAAGGGATGAAGCCGAAATAAACGTCTCCCGATATATATTCGGGTATAACAATACGATGCACTCAAAAAAAAATTTCCCCGAGTAATACTCGGGCGTGACATTTTCGAACACCAGTGCTGTGCCCGAGATTATCTCGGGCATGACAGTTAAAAGGTTAAAACAAGCAGTATAGCTTCTGTGCCGTTAGGTGCCATTTTCAAAAAATTTCCGCTCCCTTCTTACTTAAAAACTATCCAACAAGTACTTGTACCCAAACTGATGGGATCTGTATGTGGCAGAATGCCAAGAAAAATCGATTCATGCTGAAGAGGAAATACGTCAGAGTTTGTTATTGCGAGGCAGGTGGAGTTATGTCTGCCTTTGAAAAAAATTGCAGAAAACGCAGGGGTGGAGAGAGGATGGGTCCTGGAAGATTCATCGAATGGCAGAGGAGAGAGACTATTCAAACTGATGAGAATGTTATTGTTCTGAGATCCCCTTTAGGGTGAATAAGGCGTGTAGGTCTGTTCAAAGGAAAGAATGCAAACAAAATAACGTTTGCAAAAAGCAACTGAGTGGTCATTTGTGTGGGAACAGCACCAGTCCATGTATAATGACAAGGCCATCCAAACTATGTACAATGACCATCATAGGAAATATTTTATTTTTAGTGCACCTAAACGACGCACCCGCTGAAAATTTCAGTTTTAAACACGTAAACACCGCGGCATTTCTTCCGGAAATTACGGTAAGTTTAAATCAAGTGCAGGAAAAAATATGTATAATGTGGGTATACCCACATCCTTACCTAGCTGTGTTTTCACAGTCATTAGTTGTAGTTCTTAAACTTCCACTTACAGAATTGTTTTAAATGAAGAAAATATTCTTGTTTTGGCAATATCAAGTTTTAAAAATTAGTTTTCGACAAATAATGAAACCGAAATTTTAATATGATGTCCTGGTTTTTATACATATATTTAGAAAAGTTTTATACTCGCTATGAAAAAAATTTTTTTTAAGAACTTTGACTAAAAATTGGGCAGGATATTTAATTTCAAAATTTGCAGTTTTTTATGTTATGTTATTTTCATCTTGCCCTGAGGGATTAGTTATTTAAGTTAAAATAATTCAAGGAAATGAGTTTAAATGAAGTGAAGCAAAAGATATGTATAATTTAATAGACCATATAAGAAAGTCTTGTGATGTCAGTATCAAATTTTTACATTTGAATGAAAAGCATGCAAATACTATAATAATTATTCATTGATGATGGCATCGAAAATTGAAGTCAAATTAAATCGATAAATGATTGCTACTAACCTTTTAAGACTTTCTATCCTTGCCAGATAATTTTCAGACTGAGACATAGTCATTTAATCAAGCTTCCAAGCACTCCCTCCCCCAAAGAAAGCTAATTTATTTTCACTATGCTAAATAGTGACATAAATTACACCTCTTTTAGTATTTTGGGAAGAATATATAGAAAGTGTATATCTTCTAGATACTTGCAAAACAGTACACACCTTCTGCATATTAGAAATACACTGAAGAGCTATTTACATTATGACCATCTGTTTAATGTGAAGTAGGATTATCTTTCACGCTCAGAAATGCCACCTGCAGAGGCATTGACTCGATAAGGTGCCGAAAGATAGTCTGAGGTATCTGGTACCAGGCACTCGCCAACTGTCCTACAATTCCTGGACATTAGGAGATGGTAGCCTAGGCACAAATTCGATTTTCCAAGCGGAGCCACAAATGTTGGATTGAATTCATGTCAGGAGAATTCTGAGGGCAAGACAGGATTTATATGATTACATATAGTATTTACATGATTTTTAAATTTCAAACAATACTACAGCAATATTCATTAATGCAGATTTTCGTTCAAGCGTAAATATTTGATACAGACACCACAAGATTTCCTTATATGGTCTATTAAATTCTACACACTTTTTGCTTCACTTCATTTAAACTCAGTTCCTTGAAATTAACCAAAATGTTCTTTGAAATACTCCCTGGCGATTCGCCGCTTATTATAAGGTGCATTATCTTGTTGGTAAATGTCATAACCCACAGGGACGGTTGCCATAAAGGGGTGCACCTGGGGGGGATCTGCAGTGATGTTCACATAATGCACAGATGTCAAGGATTGTTCTATGGGAATGATGTGTCCTAATGTGTGCTATGAAACATCATGCAGAATACTACTACCACCACTGCCTCGTATCTGGTCAGTTGTGCACTAGGGTGCCAAGTTTTCCATTGGAAATTCATGTATTCCCACTCGGCCATAAATGTGATTTACCTGAAAATGTTATTCATCAAATCAGACTTTCTTCCATTCTTCTATTGTCCACTGCCGGTGTTCCTTAGTTCATTTCAGGTGCTGTTGGCGATGATGTGTTACTAGCACAGGAATATGATTCAAGCTTCGGCTACATAGACCCATGCACAGCAATGTATGCTGGTAATTTAAGGTGTTGTAATCCTTTGGTCATGGCAAACAATGCTTAGCAGTCTCCGCTCTCCTATGGAATCAATGTGCCATGGCCAACGATTTGTCATTCATCATCCATACACCACGTTCAATAAACACTCACAGTGGCTACATGTGAAGCAGACCACCAAATGCACTGTTTCTGAAACTGATGTTCCCAGGTGTGAATTGAGGTCTCCACCATGAAGTGTTGTAGTGCCAAGCCATAACAATTTAACCTCTATTGAAATCTGGTAAATCAACTGCTTCTCACATCATGTCACTAAACATTGGAATGTGTGGAAAATTCAGTGCATGGGTGCTTTATATTCTCCAGCATCAGCCAGCCACGCATGCATCATGGTTTTGTCTCCAGATGAGCTCACTGCTCTAGGTGAATGGCCCTTCAGTGTATATATTAAAATAAGCATCTCAAGAAGAAGACTAACTCTAAAGACAAGATCAATTATTTCAGTATGCAATTATATAATACTGCATTCCATTACTTTCATTTTTAGGTAGTATTCGTTAAAAGGAATAAAGTAATGAGATTTCTTCTAAGACAGAATGTGTTAAACCATTTAATATCTTAATGCTTTTGTATTTTCTAAGGTTCAAAATTATTAGTGGTCCTTTTTAATTATGTTTTGCTTTACTTATTTTTACTGTTTTTAAAGTATTATTTTGCCATAAAAAGGAAGAGAACTCTTACAGTGTTAAATCCCTTTTTATAGAAACAGAACCAATAGGAACTGAGCCTCCTGCTAATCCAGATAACCAGAATAATGAGAATGCATCCGTATGTATTTCCATTTTTGTTTCCTTTACTATTAAAAGATAAATCATAGCTTTGTTATTAATGATAAGATTTTAAAATTAAACAAAAAAGTGCTAAATACTATCTTATGTCTGCACTTTATTTTTAAGATATCTGATATATCTCTGCATAAAGTCATATGTCATAAGTATTTACTGTTTTACTGTTGAATGCTAACTGGTGAGCAGATTTTTAATCATTCTGATTAAATTTGTTCGTCTGGTGGATTTAGATTTGAACTGAATTGTTAAAAAGTATATTCCCAAGAAATTTTTGCTAATTAAATTTTGGTTGCATAATAAAAAGAAACAATATCTGTCTAAATAGACATAATATTCTAAATAGCCTTTCCATATGTGACTGTGCTTAAACCTTAAAATGTGTGTAATTGCATGTTATTTTTTTAATGGGAGATTTTGATATATTCATCCATGATTAAAAAGTTTTTTAGAACAAGTGAATACTTAATTATTAAATGTTTGCCGAATGATGAATAGTTAATATTTAAAGATTTCATTTTTATTACTCATGTTGCCTAAAGGAAAATGATATATTGTTTTTTAGATATGAACGGTTGTTGAACTTAATGTTTTTCTTCCTCCCTCCAGGCACCTACCAGCACTACCACCAGCTCTCCTACCACTACTAGCACATCTACTCCAGATCAGACAAATAATGATGTGGAAAATATTGTTGTTACTCCGATTCTGGATCCCCTGCATGCAAGTATGTATTGCAGTATTCTTATGATGCATTATGGGAAAGTAGAAGTGTAGTGTAGTATTGTAAGTAGTGATGCCAATAAGAGTTAGATTTTGGTAGAACTTCGTATTGCATGCAGTGTTTGCTTGTAGCTCTGCAAGTATTTATTCTTAAAATTTCTTAAGTCTGTTAATTTCATAAGTGCATTTTATAATTTAAAAATTTTTAAATCGCAGTTATGTCAGTATTTTTTTGTTTCTCCAGTAACAGGGTTTGTAGCGGTCCTTATAAGTCCTTATATTTGAAAATAAAATATAAAAGCCCTTATAGGTGCTTACTTTTTCTCAAGATTTTTTTTTTTTTTTTTTTTTTTTGAACGCGCGTTTTTCCTTTGTACCAAAGCCGAAACTAAATAAACAACTTTTCTATATATTCCATATATAGAAAAGTTGTTTATATGGTACATGAAACATCAGATGGTAAATCATACTCCCAGAAATAGCTTTTCACCCCTTTCTCTGCATGAACATAACTTTTGGTGTGCGCGAGTATAGACAGGTGCACGTTATTCTATTGGCCAAAGAATTACGAAAGCGATAGAAAATTCTGGTAGATTCCATGTTCTTTTGCTCCGACCCAATACTACACACATTTGAATTTCTATCAAGATTTTAATAATTTACATTCTCGTTCCGCGTGGTCAGGTTCATATTCGCATGTATTATGATCGGTATGCTTATTATATGAGCATATGTATGAATATTTATAATAATATTTTTTAACTGAAGTATAGATAAACTTCAAAAATGGGTAAGTGTGTTTTAACACAGATTAATTTTCTAAGGAATAATATTCAGAATGGTATAAATAAAATGAAAGTAATTGAATAGTCAAAATAATTTCTTTTTGGGGGGGGCTATGCATTATACAATACAGAAGTTGGGGGTTCTCCCTTCTCCGCAAAATCTCGAATATTGAAACCGTTACGGTTTGCAGCAAAGCAAGCAATGGACTCCTTTTCCCCCCCCCCTTACTTTCTAATTTGAATTGAATAGGACTACTGCTGTCTACCAACCCAAGCAAAGAATGATTCTATTTCAGAAATTTAACGCAATCTGTTCAAAATTGGAATGTAAATCATTCCAGATAGGTAAATTCTTTATTAATCAATATGAGTATGGCAGGGATATCGTGAATACTGGCAGCTGTTGATTCCGATTCCATAATATCACATGTGGAAGAATTAAGGCGCACGTATTGCGCAATAACGTTTGCGATATTTCACAGACATAAAAGAGTTTTACTGTGCTTGCTAAACAGATTATTTTTCAGTTTCTTTGGGCTATTTTTTATTTGATGCACATAGCAAAATGTCAAAAGCATTATTTAGCTGAAAAATCTAAAGAACGGCTGCAATCTACCCCCTTCCACTTTTACTAGTTACGTTTGACTATTCAAAATTTTCAGATATTTGGCAATTTCCGAGTATGCCGCTTAGTTAAGCTTTTACTGTTAAAGGATGACTGCATGAAGCAATTTCCTGTCTTCTGATTTCAGAAAAGTTTTTTTTTTTTTTTTTTTTTTTTTACTTATTTTAACTTAAATTCTTTGCTTGCAATATCTGTTAAGGGAAAACTCTTATACAAGGAAAATTTAGAAAATATTCAGAATTTTGATTTAAGTTAAATTATTTAAATATTAATATGAGTGGAAAAATAAATTGTATTTATTTTTAGGTGGCAAGCGAATATAATAAATTTTTCGTATTTTTTATTTATTTTCTCTATTTTGAACTGAAATTTCATCATTAAATCTTGTTATATAATTTAGTTCTGCATAGTTTTCTTTCAGTTAAATTGGTTATTAAAAAAAAAAAAAAAAAAGGGAAAAAGAGTATGCCTTCTTAATAAATAATTTTCATTTTACATTGATCAAATGATCAGAAGGTTGTTGATGCGTGTTCCTTGATCTATTGCACCAAGATATTTTACTGTACATTTATTTACAATTTATTTACAAGCGTTATGCCTCCTGGCATGTACATGATAGACATATTCTGCCACCTAGCATGTGAATTGATACATCATACTAGTTTTCTGCCACCTGACAGATACGATGCAATTATCTCAATTAGCGGTAATACGCCCGACATTTTGGCGTGTCCGCTTCCCTTATGTTCTGTAACGCAACTAACTTTTTGTGCAGGTGCGGTGCGCCCTCTGGGCACAAATCACCGCAATCACCGAGGAGGCCAAAACAACATCCCCCCCCCGATGAATTACATTCATCTTAATACAATCTTCAATATATGCAAACAAGTAAATGAAAAATATAGAAACAGAAAACATACAAAAACCTTCAAAAAGTATAAAATTACATGTTACACTTACCAATCTTCTAGCAAAACATCTTATATCTTACTATATTGAAACGTTAACTATGAGGGTTAAACTAGAACAAACAAATAAAATTATTAGTACAATAAGAAATGAAAAAAATAATAATAAAACATATTCAATATAAACCAAACACTTAAGTTAATGTTCTTCAACTGGTAAAAGACACAGTTTGGTAATAGGACGTTTAATGTCCCCGTGCACAGTTTTTAGTCTAACCACTCGGACATTATTGTCTCTTCCAGGAAACACTTCTATTACTCGCCCGAGTTTCCAACGTAATGAAGGCATATTATCTTCTTTAATGAGAACCAAGTCATTTAGACGAATATTTCTGCTAGGCTGTCTCCATTTGCTACGCTGCTGTAGTTGGCACAGGTACTCTTTAGACCACCGCTTCCAAAACCCTTGGAACATCTGCTGTGTTAGTTGCCATCTTTGCAATGGAGACACTCGTACTTCGGTTAAATCTTGTTCCGGAACAGCTGTTAAAGAAGTCCCTATAATAAAGTGTCCAGGAGTCAAAGCTGTCAAATCATTGGGATCACTGGAGACCGGTGTTATTGGCCTCGAATTTAAGCATGCTTCAATTTGTGCAATTAGAGTTAGAAACTCTTCATAAGTCAAAATTTGAGTTCCAACACATTTCTTTAGATGCAGCTTCATAGATCTAACAGCTGCCTCCCATATACCACCATGATGTGGAGCAGCTGGCGGGTTGAATATCCACCTTATGTTTTCATTTGCTAACCACCTTTGAAATTCTGAGGTTGACTGGACAGATGAAACTGCTTCCTTGAGGATTTTATTTGAACCTATAAAATTAGTTCCACAATCACTTCTTATTTCTTGAGGTTTTCCTCTCCTCGAAGCAAATCGTTTTAGAGCAGCTAGGAATGCTTCACTTGATAAGTCGCTAGCAATCTCTAAATGGATAGCCTTTGTAGCTAAACAAACGAAAATACAGATATAACATTTAATTGGTCTTATACCTCTTCCCCTTTTCATTTTCACAGAAAAAAATGGGCCGGCATAATCAACGCCAACCTTTGAAAAGGTTCTACTTGGAATCACTCTACTTGCAGGTAGTTCTCCCATTAATTGAATAGATGTTACTGCTCGTACTCTGCAACATTTTATGCATTTCCAAATGCATTTTTTAATTTCATTCTTTGCACTTATTATCCAGTATTTCTGTCTTATTGCGGATAACATTAAATGCAACCCTCCGTGTAAATGTTTTTCGTGATAATGCTGTATCATTAATTTTGTGAAGTGATTATTATTTGGCAATATAATGGGATGTTTACTTTCTCTGGTAATTTCTGCGTTTCTTAATCTACCTCCTACTCTTAAAATTTCGTTTTCATCTAGAAATGGATTAAGTGAAATGATTTTGCTTTTAGTTTTAATCGGTTGTTCTGTCTTTAAAGCCTTAATTTCTTCTGAAAATTCATTAAGTTGAACATTTCTTATAATAAATTCTGAAGCCTTCCGTAACTCATAGGCGGTAAGCACACCAGATTGCTTTTCACGAGCGGATTTACAGTTGTTCACGAAGCGCAGAACATAAGCCATTATTCCCAGTACTTTGGTTTAAATTTCCGTACAGTTCAAGATTTAGTAACGGTTCTGTAGATTCCACAAGTGTTTTCAAAGTAACACACATTTACGTTCTTCACTAACGTTTTGCAAGTCAGCTTCGGTATTCATTTCGTTTATGTGATGTCGAATATCTACTTCTGAAAGCCAGGGTGGCCCAGAAAACCAATCACTATCATTAATTAGAGCTTCAGCATCCATCCCCCTCGTAAGTTTATCAGCAGGGTTTGTCTTCCCACTGCAAAAGTACCAGTTGTTTAAAATTGTTTTCTCCTTGATTTCTACCACACGATTTCTAACAAATTGTTTCCACTCGTTGGCAGATCCCTTGATCCAGTGAATGCAAATTTGGGAATCAGTCCAGTAAAATATATTTCCCTTATCCAACTGCGGAAATATCGATTGCAAATACGAACCTAATCTTGCAGAAATTAATGTTCCCAAAAGTTCAAGCCTAGGGAGTGTTACCCTTTTTAATGGAGCCAAACGGGATTTCGACATTATGAAACTTGTTTTACATTTATTTTTCTTCTTAAATCTAAAATATGCTACGGCACCATAACACTTGGGACTGGCATCAGAAAATATGTGAACTTCTATAAACTTCCAACACATATCACTGAAGTACTGTCTGGGAATTTCGAAAAACTTTATTTTTTCAACTTCTTTTAACCATTCCTGAAATATGAATTCTGTATCAAGGGGAACACTTTCGTCCCATTGAATACCCTTTTCCCACATAGTTTGCATTAAGAGTTTAATTCGAACAGTAAATGGATTCATAATTCCTAAGGGATCAAAGAGCATACCACATGCTGCTAAAATGATGCGTTTAGTTACTTTGAGATTTTGTAACTTCTCAAACTGAGATACATCTATTTTCAAATTATCATTGACATTGTCCCAGATAAGACCTAAAACTTTCAACGGTACCAAAGAGTCTTCAGATGTTTCACGAGAGTCAATTCCATTAAGTTTCCATAGTTCATTCAGCTCAGGTGAGTTTGAAACCCATCTACGTAAATTCATACTGGCCTCGCTAAGAATGAAAATCATGTCCTTGCTTAAATGTAAGGCCTTTGCTACATTAACTGTCCCAGAAATTAAATCATCTACGTAAAGCTCTTTTAACATACTGCATGCCTCTTCGTAGGCATCTTCATACTTTTTTAAATGCAGTCTTACTGTAGCTGTTAATAAATAAGGTGAGCACTTGACCCCGAAAGGAACTCGATTGTGTTGAAAGAACTTGATTGTGTTGAAGAACTTGTAAGTTGGATTACTGTGATCGAGATTTGACCCTTCTTCATTTATCCACAAAAACTTTAAAAAATCCACTAAATCTTATTTTGAAAACTCGATTAAAACTTGTAAGTTGGAATTACCTTCTTCATTTATCCACAAAAACTTTAAAAAATCCCTATCTTCTTTAGCTAAGCCTACCTCTAAAAATGCACGCTGAATGTCGGCACAAAACGCAATTGAATGTACCCTGAATTTAATGATAATCTTTAGCAAATCAGGATTTAAATTAGGTCCGCTTTCCAAACAATCATTAAGTGATAAATTTCCCTTACTTTTAGAAGAAGCGTCAAAAACTATTCGAACCTTTGTAGAATCCTTCTGCTCGCGCACTACCGCGTGATGAGGCATGTAATACCCCGTTTTCAAACTACTATTTAAATACGTATCTACCCGTTCCACTATACCATCTCTCAAGTGTTCATTAATTATCTCATTATATTTTAAATATAGCTCGCTATTTTTCTGAAACTTATTATTTAAAAATTGTAAACGCTGTTTCGCGATTTCATAATTGTTATTTAAACCTTCAACAACCCTCTTTCCACAATAATCGAGTTTCATACCTTTTATTCTTGTAAGTTGTATTTCGTTCAAATGACTCTAAAATTTCTTTATCTGATAGAGATATTTCTTTATCCGAACTTATCCCAATTGCTTCTAATTCCCATAATTTTTTAACTCTTTCATAATCTAAGTCCTCATTTACAACGGTTATATGATTAACTCTTGCGTCCTTACACTTTGATCCTTCGTCCTTGCCTTGAATCACAAAACCGAAAGTGCTTTCTGTTGCGACTAATTTTTTACAAATCTTCACGTTTCGTTCTCCTAAAATTTCCCAAATATAATCCGAACCTATTAATACTTGAATTTCGTCACTCGTACCAGCATCTGCTAATTCTATTCCCTTCTCAAACGCCATCTTTCGTATCCACCGAGAAGGAACTTTTACTTGCCCTAGTGTTATAGAATCAATGACTATTGCGTTAATTTTTATCTTTTTACTGGGATGGCTTACATTTTGCAATACGATTTCTACGATATCATACAAGCGCTCTTTTGCATCTTTGCATCCAAATGTGAAAATAATAAGCGCTTCTTTATTAATAATTTTCAACCCCAGTGAATCAACCACTTCTCGTAAGATGAATGACTTTGTTGACCCTGAATCTAGCATACAACGTAATACCTTTTCGTTCCCCCCTTTACACCTAACTGCTGCCGAAAACGTCTGTAAAAGAACGGAAGTCGGTGGTTTAATTTTGTTATTATTTTCATTACATAAGAGCGAAAGAGAAGGTTCAAGGATTGGCGTTTGTTTTGTCTGATTGGAAGTATCCGTCTCTAAATCTTTCGATGCGGCGTCACATATTAACGAATTATGTAAACCTTGGACATTGCACAGTCTGCATTTTTCATCTTTATGAGCACAGAAACGCCTTGGATGCCCTTTCGAAAAGCAAATAAAAAACATAAACCTCGATCCATTAATGCCTTTCGGCGAGCCTTTAAATCAAGTGCGCAATCATGATTCATATGACAAGCAGATAAACAAAATATGCAGACATTTTGATTCTCTTTCTTAGGCGGGGTAGAGAACTTTCGATTTGGATTAAAATGTGATTTTTGAAAGTATTTAGAGGGAGTTTCGCTTTGACTAGTTAATACCGAAGCACCTTGCTTATTCGTACTGTAATCATTTCTTTTAGAATGCATGTAAGATTTATTTTGATAACCTTGATGGGAACTTTTGTTTCGTATTGATGTTTCATTTACATCAAAATTCTTAGAACGCGCTAACATCATTGATGTTTCCCTACATTCCACTTCAGTTTTCAAGAACGTTAGTAGTTCATTATTAACATCGAAATTTTGTTTATCACTTCTTTTCCTAGTGAATTCTAGAGTTAAATTCTCGGGTATTAACTTTAACAAAATAGGGGATAATAAATGTCCATAAGAACCACTAGTAACATTTAAAGAATTTAAATTCCTTATTTGTATTTCTATATCGTCATAAAGCTTCCTCAAAGAAGCCGTATTTCCGGAATATTTTACAGGTTCTAAACTCAACAATTTATTCATATGCGCATTAATTAGCAGGTCATCTCTGCCGAAACGGTTTTTTAGTATATCAACAGCCACCGTATAGTTTTCACTAGTAAATGTTAATCCACTAATAGCATTTAAAGCTAAACCTCCCAAAAGCGATTTTAAATAACAAAACTTGTCAACCGAACTGAGACTTTCGTTTTGGTGAATGGAATTACTAAACTGATTCCAGAATTCAAGCCAAGAACAAGGATCACCGTAATATTTTGTAATCGTTAATTTTGGCAATTTTAAAAGTATTAACTTCACAAGTTTTCAACTTCGGAGATATAGTTTCCTCACTAGAATTTCTAGATTCAACTTTAACACGCGTTTTTTTTTCTTAATTTTTCCTGAATTTTACATTTAAAACTTATAATTCTTTCCTGATATTCCTGCGCGGAAATTACTTCTGTTTCCAACTCCTGTTCCGTAATTATAAGTTTTTCAATCTCAGAATCGTATTGTTTCAACAACTGCGATTTTTCAAGTAACATTTCGAGTAATTCTTTTAATTTCTCATCCGCGGTTTCACCCTCTTCTAACAATGCAGAATCTATTTTACTCATCAACTTAGTAGTTAAGTTACGCGTCACCGTACGCAACTTCTTTGCCTTATTCATAGCCTCCATTTTACCATTAGATTCTATCAACTATAATAATCACCAAGATTTTTATTCAACAATTCTATTCAAAACTGGAAAAAATGAAAAAGGGCCTACCTCGAATTTCTTCGCGTTAAATCCTGGCTTTTCAGTCATGAACTCACTAATTTTCTTCGTCCATTCTTCATCTCCACAAATCAAGTCCGGGTCACCAGAAAAAATGTACGTATCCAAATGATCAGAAGGTTGTTGATGCTTGTTCCTTGATCTATTGCACCAAGATATTTTACTGTACATTTATTTACAATTTATTTACAAGCGTTATGCCTCCTGGCATGTACATGATAGACATATTCTGCCACCTGGCATGTGAATTGATACATCATACTAGTTTTCTGCCACCTGACAGATACGATGCAATTACCTCAATTAGCGGTAATACGCCCGACATTTTCGCGTGTCCGCTTCTCTTATGTTCTGTAACGCAACTAACTTTTTGTGCGGGTGCGGTGCGCCCTCTGGGCACAAATCACCGCAATCACCGAGGAGGCCAAAACACAAGTTTTAATTTTTCTTTTAAGGTTATGCAGTTATGTATAATGTAATTACACAGGTACTCTTTTTTTTTCCCTTAAAATGTGCTGAAAACTAAAGTGTGGCTACGAACCCTGAGTAAGTAAATGAGAAAATTTCATTAAAATAAAATTCTAAATTACATGTGCCTTGAGCTATTTAAAATAATGAATGATCTTTGATCCTGCTAGAAAGACATATAGTGATTAAAAGTGTGAAATTATTTCAAATAGACTTCTTGCTACTTATAGGTATTTGGACCTCTTTTTTTTTTTTTCATGCAAATGATAGCATAATTCTGGGCAAGTTATGATATATATGTACTTTATGACACCTTATATTTATTTTGCCCAACATATAAAATTCTGTCTTGTCAAAATTGATGGATGAGAGGAATAGATAGAAGTTATGAGTAGCTTTTTTATTCTTGTGTGTGGCTCGTTCACAGAGTTTTACCTTTCAGAAAAAAATAAAATAGAATAGTTATTTTTTATAAATTTAATCATTCTCTTATTTACAGATCAAAGGATTTAGAAACAATAAATGCACTTAATAATTTGCTGCTTATGGCATCAGCAGTGGCTTTAATTTAATTTTAATTAATATACATTTTAACTGATGTAGAAAAAATTACTTTTTAGCAATTTAAATCTTTATTTAACCTTTTTAGCAATGTATCTAATACATGTATATTAAAATGCAGTTAATTTTGTAATATCAGCTGATAATTTTTATCAGCATTTGCAGTATTGTTATAATTAATTAGCAAAGATAATTTATGCACCGCATGTTATATAAATGGCATAGAATCATTTGAATTTTTTATTTTATGGTGTTTATTTATTTATTTAAATAGTTTTTAATAGTAAGCTATTTTTTGGAACTTTTAAGTTATAAGTCTCAGTCTTTAGATTGCTGTTTTCTGTTTATTTATTTTAGAACTATATTGCTTTAAAATGTTTAGTAACTGGTCACTTTGCCAAAACTTCTATTAATTATTCTCATTCTTTTTAATTCTAGATCCGTCATCAGGAAGTCCAGAACCGATGCAGACACCTGAATCCACGTCTACTTCCGAACCAAAAAGCAGTGCTGATGCTGTTGTAACTCCTAAATTAAAGAACTTACCACCAAAGGAAACTCCCAAATCAGTGACTAATCCTCCTCCATTATCAATTGTTAGTAATTTTTTTAATATTTAACTTAGTATCTTAATTCCCTGCTGCAGTTTCATTAAGTTTAATTTTTCTGAAAATTCCTCATATTTTTCCTTCTGTTTTATTAGTTTATTTTTGATTTAAACATTGTTAACAATTTCTTGCATTTAAAAAAGTAGGCTTTATAGCTGTTATTTTGTATTAGGAAAACTTTTTGCAGTTGTGTAAATCACAAAAAAGAATCAGATTTTATACTGTAATAATCCTGTTAACCAGGAAGCATGTATAAATAAAATTAATCTAAAAAACTATTAGCTGTAGAATTTAATATCAAAATTGAATACAAATGGTTGATGGTTTTGTATTCATGTCTTTTAATTGCGAGAGAGCTGATGGTAAAAAGATCTAATGTATCTAGTATTGTGTCATAAATATATTAACTTATTGTAGTCTCATAATGCAAAACAGTTTTACAGTTAACCATCAGTTGTATAAAGTTGCATGTTTTCATATTATTTAATTGCTAGTGACATTGTAGATTTGTATTTAAATATACCCATATCTTTTGGTAAATTTTCATTTTATATTTTAGTTGTATAATGTCTGCACTTAATTATACACTGTTGAATCTGAATTTAATGAATTGCTTAGGTGATGAAATCCGTTAAACTAAAATCAGGAGACATGCAGTTATGCAGTAATAACTCAACATTTGATTATTACATCACTGTTAAGATCTCAATAAAATGTACAAATAAAAGATGTTCTATGTACAAAATGTAACAATGAATTTATTTATTTATTTATTCATTCAATAAGCTTGTTTAAGAAAGAAAGGTGTGCTGATAGAATCTGTTTTTGTTTCATTGATTAAATTTGAAGATCATTCAACACCTCATCTTCTATATCATATTCCAATAGGTTTTTTTTTTTTTTTTTTTTTTTATTTATTTATTTTCTAAAACATGAAAGACAGCTGTAAATGTTTGTGTTTCCTCTTTCAATATAGGGTGTGTTGTTTTCTCTCTGTCATCATATTATAAGCTAAAAGTTTAAAAGTTTTAATCTGAAATTTTGCTGGCTGTGAAATTCCCTTCTGTTCAAGTGTCAATTAATCACAGTTCTCAGTGCTAGTAGATAAAATTGCACAATCCAGCTTTTTAAAATTAATTACTAAGCATTTCATATTTCTTTATTCTATGAATCTTTGACAAAATTCCTTGTGTATCACAATTTGAAGTTTCCAAACCAATCAATATTCTTTTAACTGAGTTATCTGTAGCTGATTTAAAAAGATCAAATTATTCTTCTGTCAAAAAGCCCATCATTCTTATACAGTGTTTGGAAACAGCATCCTCCACTATAGATGGAAGAAAATTCATACTTGCATTTGAACAGAGCTGATGTTAATTTAAAGATGATTGCTAAGTTGTCTTTAAAAGTTTCACAAGAATTAAAAAAAAAAAAAAAAAAAAAAATCAAAATTTTAAAACCTTAGCACTTTTTCATTTTTTATTGGAACATAATACTCATCAATCATTTTCCCACTTGATTATTGTTTTAAAAAAGTTCTGTAAAAATCTCAAAATATCTGCTGTTTAAATAGCGATTAGGCTGTACTTGATTTTCAAGGTGAAGTTATATGTCCAGTGAAATGATTTAGGTACTTTTATTAGACATTCTGTTTGTAAATTAAAAGCATTTGTGTTGAATAATTGAAAATATTTATGTTTGATATATATGAAATGCATCAGTTACATTTTGATGTGGGTGGGTGTCTTTCAGTCATGCGTTTGGTTTGACATTTGTAATTGATTCTGTTATGACATTAGTTGACTATGATCTCGCTGAGTTATACTGTTTTCATGAAGCACTATAAAAGTACAGCATTGTGAACACTAATTTGAACATTCATTTAGAAAATTGTATATTCCTGTTATATCTATCTATCTTTCTGCAAATCCAAGATGCAAGCAGGAGGGAATAAAAGTTAGGTTCCTCTTATGATGGATAATTCTTTAAAACTTTACACTTATTTAATTAATGAAGTGTCACTTAAAATATTTATTGGTGTATGCCTAAGATTCTGAATCAATTACAGCTTGTTAAGGTTATTTAAAGATTAATTCAGCTTCATCTACTGCAGAAATCATATAAAAAAATTCATTACATGTTTTAAGTCTTGTTCTTTAATTTTAGTAACTATTGCACTATTTGGAAAATTCATCATATGTCAATTAAGTGCCTTTCACTAACATCAACTGTTGATACAGTAATAGAAAATGAGTAATTGACTAAATTTTTACTTCCTTGTACAAAGTAAAGGAAGTATTGCTGTCGAGAAAAATTCTGGGTATAATATTTCGAAAATAATCCATTTTGACCGCTATCGAATGCAACTCAACGATGTTTTTGCATGACATCTGTATGTAAGGACAGAATAAAAGGACCCCTTTTCCCTAAATGGATTGTATAAAATTGTTTTAAAACATATTGAGAAGAGACCTTTTTGTGATGTATGTATCTTGCATAACTAAAAAACGAGTAGCCTCAGAATGTTGAAATTTTGTACATAGGACTGCTATAACATGCACCTCCCTTTTCGGTTGCAATCAGCTGCACCAAATGTGTATATATATATATATACATTCTAAATCTGTTATTCTGCTCAGTGAGCTGTTTCTTTTATACTTATATGTTGGTAAATTGTGCATTTTTTGCTTTGAAAATGTTTGAATTACGTTGTTCTTATCTTCCAAGTAAGGTTTTTAGGCCTTTAGTTAATCTGCATGCAATAGATGTGAAATTATCAACAATTTAAAAGTCGTTTAAGAGCAGTTAAGCCTAAGGTCCGCCCCCCCCCATAGCAACCATTTCTGTTAACATTTGAAACTTAGCAGAATAGTGAATTAAGTCAGTTTCTGCGCGTCTGTGTTTTTTGCTGAGTGGAACCAAAAATACTTTCACTTTTGTGTGCACTGAAAAATTTGCCCTCTTGTCAGCTAGCTAAATTACTTGTTTTTACATAGAAATTTTAATTGTAAAACAAATTGTTTTAATTGTATTAGGTGTTTAAGGTTTTCTATATTTTTCAAGTTTTAATTAAGGTATTTTGAGATTTTCTGTATTTTACCCTTGCCGCGAAGTGAGAATTGAATTAATTGAATGAGAAATCTATTGCTAATGAAATTCGAGAAAATAAGTTTAAACGAAATTTAGCAAAAAATGCATATGATTTAATTTAACTTTGTGACATAAGTTGGCACAAGTTACATAAGTGGCATTAGCATTTAAACTTTTGGGTAGAATATTATGCTGTGTTTCCATTCTTTTTACATCTACCACATATCTGCAGTTTACTGCTCTAGTAAACTTTTGCCGCTGTTATCTCCTAACAAGCACACAGATACACCAAATGTGGGAAATATAGTTGCTGAGAATTTCAGTTATAGCATCATACCTCCTTCACTGACCTGCCACAGTTTCTAATGTCCTAAGACCTTGCCTAATATTTTGGATTATCATTTTGTATACATTATTAAAATGTTGTCTATTTACTGTTGTTAATATTCTATTCATTAATTTGGTATTTTAAATTATGTATCATATAAGAATTTTAATTTGTGGTGATTGAGTGCTTGCATATTTTAAACTAGTTTCATTATATTGAGCTTTCCTTTATTATTATTTTGTTCCATAGTCTGTACAGGTAAATTTCATTTTACATTATTTTTTGCAGTCTATTGTTGATACTCGATCCATACGCTCTCCAGCTACAACTACTACTGCAGCGCCTAGAGGGAGGAGGAAAAGAAAATCTACACCTGTGAAAGAAGTACTAAAAGACAGACCTCCTCCAGCTGAAGCTTCACAGTTTGCTGACATTAATTTGCCTGAAATTGAACAATATAGGCAATTATATGGTCAAAACTTAAATATTTGTACGTATATCTTGGTAGTTGCACTAAAATTTGTGTTTTATGTTTTATTTATTTATATTTTTAAAAATGCAACTATATTATATGTAAAATAAAAGTTTTTCATGTCGATGTTGATGATTTTACTGATAATGTTCTTTTTAATTTTTTTTTCCACTATTTTAGCAATTTATTGCTCTGAACTAGACTTAGAAATAATAGGTACTTTAATTTCAATTGACGATTTTAGTGAAATTATTCACTGCATAATTTGGTGCTTACTTTGCATCTAAATGGATGTGTGGTTGAGTTACATTTCATGCCTGCATTTTGAGTATTGCAATTCTTATTCCTTAGACATGCAAAGCTTCTCTTCAATAGTTTTAGCTAATTTCAGAGGAATTGCTCATTTATGAAATTTATTCATAAATGAGAATTTTTTGTATGAAAAGATTGATGCAGAAATATAAAATCTGGGGTTTTCTTAATTTGATATAAATTAGAAAATTTAGGTTAATAAAAATTAAAATTGTATTTGGCATTAAAACACATGCTATGAAAGTTTACAACAACCATTTAACATATATTGTTTTCATTATATAATTATTTTATGTTACATCTGTTTGCTATTATAACATTAGCTCCATGTGTTTTATGAAAATTAAAATTCTATTATGATTTCGAGTTTTTTCCATAAAGTGCCAACCGTTTGTATATTTATTTCTTAAATATATATGTATGCGTATGCATATATATGTATACATAAGTTATTTATAAGCAATTAAAAAATTTCTGTATTGTGTTAAAATTGGTGAAATGCTTCTTTGTATGCATAAGTGAAATGTTGTCTCTTTGTTGTTTAGATAATCCAAACTTGCCAACAATTTCGGCATATAGCGGATCTGGTGTTGTTCCACAGTCATTCCCACATTTAGTTCCTCAAACCATGCCCTTTCCAGTAGTCCATACCTTTCCTACACCTATGCAAGTTCAAAATCCATATCCAGGAGTTCCTCAACCTAGTCCGATGATTGGGCTTCAACCACCAATTGCCCCTGGTTTAGTTCCGCAAAGTAATATCCGTAAGTTATTTCAATATTATTTATTAAATATTGTATGTAGGCAGCTCTCATACAATATGACATAGCTGTCCTATAATTTGATTTTACAACATCATTATTCAAGATTTAAGGAAAATTCTCACAAATAATGTAGCCTTCTTAAACATGATTTTAACCATGAAGCAAAGAAATCAGTATTGTCAATATCTGCAATACAATTGCTAATATCTGGATGTTTGACTATATTAAAATGCAACATAAGTGGAATTTGCTAAGACAAACTTTAAAATAACAAACAAAACAAAAAATCATAATAATAATTGTCCCACATTTATTTGAACACATTAGTTTTATATTTTCTAAATGAAGATCCTTTCACTGAAAGAAACATTACAAGTAATTAACTACTTAATTTGTTTTGCGAGTGTGCCATATGGATGCTGCTTTAGCCCCATACAGCATGGGGTATTCTTTTACTATTTTGCCTCTATTTTTAACATCAAATTAGTCATATATATGGCACTAGATGTCCACTAAGTGGTAGTTTGTAGAATTTATTTTGCTCTGTTCCGACTGATTCAAAAGTGTGCACTTGTTCCACATCTCTTGCATGACTCAGAAAATTTTTATTTTTCAGTGCTTAGCTTTCCATTTTTTTAAATTACTTTCAGTTTGATAACTTTATTGATGTGCAATTAGTTGAAATTGTTTTTTTTTTTTTTTCCTCCATAAAATAATAGATTATTCAGAATGTATCCAACTAATTTCTTGTGATTATGAATCAGAAACTGAAATGTCTGTAAATGAGTCTAGAGCAGGGAAAATTCTATGTATGATTTCAATAGTGGTATAAAAAACATGGTAAAAACACAAATTAATAGTTTTGATTGTATATTATCATCTGATTGACTGAAAAGCATGCAGCAGTGGAAGGTAAAGGGAAGGTCTTCTGGGATGTTTATTACCTCCACTAAGACTTGCAGAAATACATTTTTTAGAATTCCTCCCTCACACACACAGGAACTAAAATCCGCAAGATGGTGTTATGCATGTTCACTGAAGAAAAATAACAAGAGCAAAAGAATTAGAAAAGAGTTTTTTGTTGTTGTTTGACTGTGTGTGCCTCATGCCTTGTTTTAAAATATATCATACTAAATCAGATCCTTTGGGAAAAAAATGCAGTAATTACAGTAATTGTAGTTGAAAATAATTATAATTATACAGTGTAATAAGTAAGTGTAATTACAGTAATTGTAATTGAAAATAATTATAATTATACATTTTTATACATGCAACCATAAATGTAACTTCCATGTGGGGCTCTCATGTACGAAGAAAAGGTATCTTCTAAGGAAAATACTGTTTTTTTATTTACAGTAAAAAAGTTCGTATAAATGCTTAAAAGCATTACAAATGTTAATTTAATAGCATATTGATACTGACAAATATAAAATGAACAAAAAAAAATTAATGCAACCTTATCTCTCTCTCTCTCTCTCTCTTTTTTTTTTTTTAAATCAAATTCAGAAAAAGAATTAGATGTTAACTCCATGCAGTGAAATTTACAAGGTTGTTCAATAAGTTCGCGGAGCGCCATCTAATCGTCAATATTAGACCTAAAACCTCGACGCCATTTTCATATTTGTTCTTTCTTAGGAACACGTCAAAAGTTTCATTTCAATCTGTTAATTTATTCATTATTTAACCGCCCTTTATATCTAACATGTTGTGGCTTTTTTCAGGTATGGATAAAATTGAGCAACGTGCAGTTATCAAATTCTTTGTAAAGAAAGGTTTAAATGCAATGGAAATTCATACCGAAATGGTGAATGTGTTGGGTGAATCTGCTTCTTCAAAAACAATGGTTTGTAAGTGGACTAGTTTATTCAAAAGTGGTCGTACCAGCCTTGAAGACGATCCGCGAGAGGGACGTCCAAAAACTGCATCAACACCGGAAATCATCGGAAAAATACAAGATATGGTATTGGAAGACCGTCGATTGACTGAAAGAGATTTAACAGAGGCTTTAGGCATTTCATTGGGCACAGTGAGCAATATTTTGAGTGTTAATTTGGGTTTCAAAAAACTCTGTGCAAAATGGGTGCCGCATTCTCTAACGATGGAGCAAAAACACATTCGGATGCGACTTTGCCAGCAACATTTGGAGCGTTTTAAGAAGAATAAAAGCGACTTTATCCGTCGATTTATCACAATGGATGAGACTTGGGTCTACCATCATGATCCTGAATCAAAACAGGAGGCTAAGGAGTGGTGTGTGAACCCGGCTCTTCGGCGCCGAAGCGAGTTCGTGTGCAAAAATCAGCCAAGAAGGTGTTAGCATCAGTTTTTTGGGATGCGAAAGGAATTTTGTTTATAGATTACCTTCAAACTGGCAAAACAATTAATTCGGATTATTATTGTAACCTTTTGAATCAATTAGACGAAAAAAATTCGTGAAAGAAGACCGGATTACAGAAGAAGAAAATCATTTTCCACCAAGATAACGCACCTGCGCACACAGCTCAAAAAACCATTGCTAAAATAACTGAATTGAAGTACGAATTGTTGCAACATCCAGCCTATTCGCCAGATTTAGCTCCCTCCGACTTCTGGCTCTTCCCACACCTCAAACAATATCTCCGTAGAAAACGATTTTCTTCAAACGAAGAGGTAATAGCTGCCGTGGAGGGATATTTTGCAGAGCTGCCAAAAAACCAATACAGTCAAGGGATCCATAAATTAGAAGAATTTATGGATCCCTTGACTGTTGGAATGAGTGTATTGAAGTTGAGGGAAACTAACTACGTTGAAAACATAAAATCATTTTTACAAATAAAAATTGGTTTCTTCATTTCCGTTCCGCGATCTTATTGAACAACCTGGTATACTGTCTGCCCACATTAAGCTGATGCTTGCAAGGCTTCTGTGCATGGGCAAAACTAATTCACAGCAAATTCATGAAAAAAGATTGTTCTCAGTATTGTAAAGATGCGATTTCATGTTTTAATATGATCTTGTTGCAGTCTCATTTTTTAAATACTGCATGATGCAGAATTACCATGCTACCTGGAAAACCAGGAAAAGTCGAGGAATTCAAAAATTGATCAAGAAAGTCAGGAAAAAATCGGGGAATATAAATATTTTAGTCAAAATTTGGAAAAGTTGGGGAATTTAATATTACTTATCTCCAAAAAAGCAAATTTCCCACCATTGTCAAAAGCAATTACTTTCTTTTTGGACAGCTGGTGTAGAGCCAATCAGATTGTCATTTAGAGAGGCAAAGCAAGTTTCCAGTAACCTTGAGAATCCAGAGATTTGCATGCGCATGTACAGTGCATGTTGAACTGAATTAAATCCCTCCTAAAATCTTTTAAACCTTTAGTCTTTCTTAGGCTGCTATCACACATCTGTTTGTTTTGGAAGAACAACTGTTTCGAACAATTTTTCTGCTTTGTCACAACAGCCAATCACCACAGATCGCTTTGGGGTTAACAAAGGGAAAACTGGTTCTCCATTACAAACAAGCTGATAACTGATTGGTTGAAAACGAACAACTTGCAATTTTTTTTTTGAAAGGAAGGAAAACATTGTGCGTCTTTCTCTCAACAAAAAACCAGGCAAAAAATTTTTCTGAAGCAGTTGTTCAGGTGAAACAAATGCATGTGTGTAAAAAATAACAGTCAGTCATTAGGCTTACCATTTAATATATCTATATTTGCCAAAATACAATCAAAAGTCTTTAATCCGGACTCGTCGGGACTTTGGCGTTTCCGGATTATAGATCATCAATTTAAATCTGGTAAGATGGCATGCAGAAATTGTAAAACTAAAAATATGAAACCGTAATTTATGAAATAAAGAGCAATTATGGTCTAAAGGGTATCAAAATTTACAAAAAAAAAAGCTTAATATTTATTTGTTTACTTTATTAAACATTTCTTTCAACACTCGCTTGCGTAAAGCATACATTACTGATGCATAAGCAAAGTTTAAAGTTATAAAAACATTTAGCAGAAATAGCAATAGAAGCTCCCTGAGATTATATATTGTGCAGAAAAACCCAGTTTATTAACAATATGTATAAAAATAAAAATACAATAAATAAATTTAATCAAAGCCAGAAACTTAAAGAGTGTAACATTATCAAAAAATTACATTTAGTTGACTATTCATTAACCCCAAGGGTTTTTCCTTTAAAGAATATTACACTATTAATGATACCACAAATATATAACCTGATCTTTAAATACTGGCATTCAATACGCGAAAAACATATCACAGAACAAAAACTATGCGGTTAATATAAATTTCACTTCATTATAAATAGGTCCATCCTTTTTGGCCAAGAAGGCACCTGAAAAATTAAACTAAATCTTGAGTGCACTTGAACTGGCAAAAGCCACTCACTGTAGTTGCTCACGAGAGATCACAGCTTGGAATTTATCGCCGTCGAACCATAGAACAGGTTGCCTCCCACAGCAGTTGACCACCAGGAACCACAACTTGAGATCTATCACCGCCAAACCGTAGAAACAGGATGCCGCCCACTGCAGTCGCTCACATCGTAGCCGCTTTTCAGAATCCAGGAAAAGTCATCATGGACTGGACCACAGTACTTATCGCTGGATGGCATGCATCGCAATATCGTCTTCCAATGGGGATTGGAAACGGCACACCAAGAAGCAATGCAACTGGAACCAGAAGGAATAAGTCAGAGCGACGCGAGATACTTATACCTAAAGTAGACATGACGTTATCTCACGGCAACCAATCAGCTATCGTCACGACTTCAGCTCTTTCAGATGACGTTACATCAAGTTTCGTTTTTGCATCTTAATTAGGCTGGAACAGTCCGTTCTTAATACGAACAGTGGCAGTAAAAAACAAAGTAGAAGTAATTGCTATATACCCTTAAAAATTAGAACTAAACCTTATGTAAAAGTTAGAATTATTTCAGGGAGGGGAGATGATGCAGAAAATGGGTTACAATAAGTCATATTTTCAACAAATGCCCCCCACATCATCACCTCCGACCTGAAATAAAAACTGAATGCCGGTATTTTTTATAAAAATTCAAAACAAGAATAAATAAATATAAATGTAACAATACACAACTCCACTCAATTCAGAATCTTTAGGGACAATGTGCATATCCTATCCCATTTTTCAAATTTTTTCCATAATACAAAAGTTCATCATGTTTCAAAACAATACAAAGACATATGTATGATCATACATTCAATACATTTACCCAGGGCCCTGGTCAATCACACAACATTCATTCTATACAATTTTACATTATCACAATACTCATCATAATGTGACTTACAACATATCATTTTCCTTCAATGGTACAGTCCAAAAAAGTCAAAAAAAATTAAACCTTTAAACAAAACTCTTAATTTAAAGTTAAATACACACAAAAGAAAAATTTCATAAGAAAATTGTTCCACAAAATCTTATCAAGCTATGTTTAGTCAGCGGTTTTGTCATGGGATCAGCCAGATTATCTTTGCTTGGAACATATTTTAGATAAAAAATTTCCCTGTTCAGTAGATCACGAATGAAGAATAGCTTTACATCTATATGTTTTGTCCTTGAGTTTTCAATGGGTGATTTTGTAAAACTTATAGCAGCCATGTTGTCCGCAAACAATACAGGTGTGGTGTTTGTTGTTATGATCAAAAGTTTGTCATTGAATTTTAAACTATTTCCTGATTAGTTCTCAAGCTCAAATTTTGCCCTTCACTTTTTGTGGATGATCATACAATGTGGTAAAGCAATTTCTTCAAAATTTGATGTAGGTATTTTTAAATATAATGCTTAAACAATTTTTTGCATATATCTTCATTTAACAAACTATAGATTTCAGAGTTTTCTGTTTGTATCATCAGATAAAGTGGGGGGAAGAATCCTTTTAATGAAATTTTTATGAAAAATTATTTGCAATACATTTTTTTGCCATTTTAGGAAAATTGCGTGGTCCCATCCCCCCAATTATGTGATGTCTATTATTTTACAATTTCTGCATTTAAAAATATATTAATTACAAAATTTTGAAATTTTTGCAGATTATTAAACAGTTTTTTCACCTCTTTTAAAACAAGTGTGACAAAAAATATTACTTTGACAGTTTTCTGCATTTACGACAAAAGTGTGGAGCAGAGAAGGAGAAGTGTCAATTTTTTCAATTTCATTACTTTAAAACATAATTCAAGGTAATGAGGTCATTACATCACTCCCTTTGGTACATATTCCCTTTTGGTAAATAATGGCTTGCAATTATACATTAAGCGTATTAAATTCCCCCTTCTCTTATTTATTTTTTATTGACAGGTCTGCATTTACAGTTCATTTTATTAATCTCAAAAACAATGATTACCGTTTTAAATGACTTGTAATGGAATCTGCTATATTATTTTTAATTTTTTCCATCTCGTAAGTTTATGTATATTTTCCCTGCATTTCATTTAAAAATTGATTTTTAATTTTTATTATGGTATGTAATATTATATTCTTTTGTAGAAAAATGTAAAATTTTCTCAGCTTATAAAACTGTTTTTTTTTTTAAACAAGAATGATAGGAAAATATTAGGCTTTTTTAGAATTTTTTTAACTTGCTGCATTTTTTTTAAGCCTTTTAACTTCCTCATGGGGTTTTTTGTCAATTTTTAAACTATTTCCTGGTAAATTGCCAAATTCAAATTTTGTACATGCATTGTTTGTGAATCGCAGTACATTATGCTGAAGCTATCCTTTCAAAAATTTGATATTTTTTTTTAATTTAATGATAAAATTTTTCTTATGAATTTGTTTAATGAACAAACAAAAAAGAGTTGCCTCCCCCCCCACACACACCAATTATCAGATAGAACAGGAAAAATCTTTAAATAAAGTTTAGATGAGATTTCTAGCATAATTTCTGATTGTTTGGGCAAAATTGCTATATTTTAGACCATTTGACATGATTGTTAGAAATAAAAGAGCCCCCAGTCATATAATAATATAAGTAATATTGCCCCCAGTCATTGTTGAAAAACTATTTTTCAGTTGAAGGATTCGATCTATATCCTGTCATTAAGACTAAAATGATAAAAATAAAAAATGTTTTAAAATGTCTTTTCATTTCAAAACTTATAATCATTGAACTAAATGGAGAAAAATAATGTATCATATGGTTGCTTTATTTTCTGAAACCAGTTTTTACGTTATTTTCTTCCTTCACGTTCATACGGGGTTCGTAGATTTGGAGTGAATAATGACGACACTACTTGATGAAGTATCGAAACACACTTTATTTAGCCAACATTAATCAGGACAGCTCCAAAGTCACTTTTAGAGTCGTCAAAGATCTACTATAAACACGCTGGAGCAATCAGCGAGACAGCCTTCACACTTTCAGGCAAAAACGGTGGAGGCGGCGTCACTGCAAAGCACCAGAGTACAGCTCCTGACTCTGCACAGTCATTCTCGGAACTCCACGTACGCTCGACTCTCCATGCTAGAACTCGCGATGCACTCGACGACACACATAGCACAGCTCCCGACACTTCGGTTCAGTCGTTCCCATTGCTTAACACACTCTCTCGGCGATGCACTAACTGCGATAAACTAAGAGACTCTTTAATGCTGTCGACGACCCACTCGGCACTCGCTGCCCGGCTGTCAACTCGATGGACTCTGTGCAGACTGACTGTCTCGCACTTACTCTCCACATACCAGGAGGGTTTATATAGTTTCTGGCTTGTGTTCGAGAACATTCTGGCCTAAACCAGTAAGAATTCATTCCAGAAGATTCTCCACCCGTCCATGGCATGTCACCAAATGTGGCAACCCTGCCATCCCATGCCATTTTATGGCAACCTTAAAACCTTTTATGGCAACCTTAAAACCTTAAAGCCATCTTACTGCACCTGGACATTTTGTAACAATATAGTTTAATAGAAACAGTAGATTAAGTAATTGCCTTTACAAAATTCATCAATCATTATTCGACTGTTAAAATAATTTTTTATTACTTTTTCCATTTCCATCCACCCTTTTTTAAATAAAAACATGAAGTTAATATATGAGAGGAGTCACAAATTGAAGAAACTTAATAATATTAAAATTGTACTTCTGTATATTGTTTCAAACTGTAAATTCAAAATTCAAAAAGTTTTTTTTTTTTTTTTTCTTGTGTCATATACAGTGGACTTTACAGTGCCATACTCCTCGCATAATTTAGAGATGGATATGCCTTTATCCATTTTTTGCAGCAATTCAACTTTTTGTGTAATGGATATAGAAACATGGTTTTGCTGTGTAGATCCTTTGGCAACTCCAGAATTGAAAACTCGTTTCGACATAATCGAAAGTTCAAGCTTAGTTTTTATAAAATTGCCGTAATAATAACAGTCTGCAAAAAATAATAATAAGCTGGATCAAATTAGAAGATCAGAGAGCAGTGCAGTCCGCTACATTAATTGAAATGCCTGAAAATCTGTAAAGATAATTTTAGCCTAGCTTAATGGCTTCCGTTATACATTATTGGCTGTGTATCACAAGATTGGCGACGAAAGCCAAGTTGTTTCGCTAAATTTTGTCTTGCTCCTATTGCATACTGAATTAAGCTTGAATTGTATTATTTTAGTTATTTACTATACCTATGTTTATTTCTTGCACATGCTTCAAACTAATCTGAATAAATAAACTCCCACATATACTTAAGGCTTTATCTAGGGTCGGCACTCAATACCTCCTGCTGCAGTTTCTACTGGTCCTAAATTCTGCTACAAAGCGATTTCCTAAGTTCTAAATTTTCACCGTGCCTATACTTTGTATCCCAGTGCTTTCCCTAAATCATAAAAACTTCTCATCCCTTAATTTTGCCGCTCAGTGCTTCTCCAAATTCCAAAAATTTTGTCTTCCCTAAATTCTGCTGTCCGGTGCCAACATATTCTGCCGCCGCTTCTGGGTTTATGGTAAATAGCATATCAGTTATTCTTAATTAAAATAGCACTAAATGTAATGTTTTGGCATTTTTAGCATATGAAAAGATATTTTTATTGAATGTTTCCTTGTCAACATTTCTTAGAGCATTTAAAATTTTATAATCATTGCCAAGCGTAATGTTAGCATAAAAGGTTGCCATACTCTTATTATTCAATTCCTAACATAAAAAAAGTTTAGACATCACAGCAGGAGTTATTACTGAAGCTGTCATGTATTGACAAACATGCGGTGATGAAAGCAAAGTATAATAAATAATGATTCGCCAGGTCGGCGTCAGGGATGTAAAATAGGTGAATGTTTCAGTTTGAGATGTATGTTAAAAAGATACTCAGCTAGGGAGCCAAATTATTAATCTCACAAATTTATGCTTACATGATTGTTTTTCCATAACGAGGTATTTTATTTAGTGCCTAAGTGAAATTAAGAATTGGAATTTCTAAGTGAAAATCTCCATGTTTTTATTATGGAAGAAAAAATCAAATGCTTCTGCGTAAAGCATTAATAAAAAAAAATTTTTTTTTTAATTTTTTGTGTCTTTGAGGTCCGGATTTTAGATCATTCCGGATAATGGACGTCCTGAGTTCAGACTTTGTACTGTATTAACTTGTGTGTTGACAGTTGTGATCTCTATCAAGTAGTTATTTGGATTTGATTAACAAATAAGAGAAGTATTTATATTTCTTTTTAATAATTTATTAATATTTTTTCTTTAGCTCCAAGCAAGCAAAATGAAGTTATTGTGCCAGGAGAGTGCGTTTTAGGTGATACATCCTTTGAAGAACCTCCATCTAAAAAAGCTAGAAATGTGAGCATGAAGTTATCTATTTGCTATGTGGTTTAGATAATAATAATTGTAATTCATGGTTAGGTGATGTCAATTTCTGTTGAGTGCAATTCTAAGTTTAAAAAGGTCAAATTTTATTTATATCTGACATATATTTATTTATTATTAAAGTAAATAAAAGTATTTTTAGTCATAACAATGTTCTAGCCTGCTTGCAACAGACTTTAGATAAATATTGTTTGTCCTTTGTTAACTCTGCAGAAGTTAGAAGTGTCTGTGTATAAGATGCTTTTACAGTTGCAGCTAACTGGTCAGATGCTGTTATCGTTTAATTATATAATCTAAAGGCATAAATCACTTTTTTAGTTAAGGATGTCTTTAATTGAGAATTTCCAAAACTTTTGGGCTATGTGTGCATGTTATGTTAGCATGCATTTGTCATCCACTTATGCTGGGCAAGTCAAGCAAAATCTTTCAATTATTTTTTATGTAGCTTTGCAAGTGATCAATCCTTAGAATATTACTTTTCAGCAAAGCATTAGATCTTAATTTATCTTTCAAATATAATATGTTTGTAATTCTGTGGCAGTTCTACTAATTTAAAAGCAATAAACACATAAAGATAAGCTTGGAATTTTTCCTCAGTGTTCTCTTTCTCCTTTTAAGGGTTTATGATTACTTGCTTAAAGGAAGTGAACATGTCTCTATCAAATAAAGATTGAATTGTGGCAGTGTTACATTAAGAGAAACAATCATGTCATCTGAAGATAGGAGAAATCTAACAGCCAGACTTCTGCTGATTCATCAGGAATGGGCGAGACTGGCTGTTCAGTTAACTAGCTTATTTCTGAGAACATTCCACAGACCTAAACCCATGTTATACCTGCAAAGGGGAGCAGATAACACACATAGGACCAGGCTTTATTTGGGAGTGAAATGTATTTTGGCCATATATTCAGCCTCTACTAACCACTGTTTTCCAGGACAACAGCAAAAAAAGAGGGTGAACTTTAGTTGTCATTCTGTTACAGACTTTACAGAATAAATTTTAAAATTTCAAAAAGCACCTGTTGCATTTCAGTGCATTTATTGCCCCAATCATATCTGTTGTCACATGTTATATGTGATCTTGCAAATGAAATGTATAGGTTTGCAATCAAGTTCACAGTGCTAAAAAAAAAACTTGTGTATAGTTGTTGGACTTAAGTTACACCAGCCTTAAGAAAAATGTCTCTTGCTTTAGAAATATTCTTTGTTTATAACATCTCTTGAAGACCACCTTTATTTGCTAGTGCATTTTTTCATATAAAGCCTGCAAAAAGTAAAATAAGAGTTCAAAATTTCGAACATCTTGGAAGTACTCTTCTTTGTCTTATCAAATTAGAAATAGAAGGCTTAATGTTGAAGAGAAATCATTATTTGCATTAAAACTGTTATTATTATATCATTTTCCTTATAAATAGTTTTTAATTTAAAAAATCCAATTTTATTTTAAAAATTGGTGGTATCATTTTTGGTTACGGTCATTAATAGATGATAAATTCTGTAGTACTTAGTTCATCTTTGTTAGGTGATAAAGCCGGATAAATCTAAATAGGTAATTGCTCGTGCTTTAAAAAAGTATATAACTGCAAAATTGTAACTTTTTATCTTGTTGTATGCAGGTAACTTTTGGCTAGGATTAGTGTATATGAAGGAAATTTACCATCTGAAAATATACTGTAGAATTCGCCATGAGTGCCTGCAATTTTTATTCATTTTTAGATGTAAACAAATACATTTTTAGTTGTTAGAAAATTTAACAATATTTTTTATATATAAATATACAGATAAACTTTTAACAAAACTTGTGCGTCTTTGCTTTTTTTTTAAATCATAAATGCAGGATGTTTTGTAAATTCTTAATTTTCTGTAAATCTCTATATTTGGATATATAAAATTAACTTCAATTTCACATGGTTAACATATGTAAAAATTTATTTGTCCACAATTTTTTCAACCATTGAGTTTCATTTTAAGATGCATCCTATAGCACGTTTTTAGTCCATAAGGGCAATTTTCCCAGAAGGACTATTAATTTTGTTTCGGCATTTTGCATCAATTCACTTTTTTAATTGTTGCCACCAAATATTAGAGCCCCGTATTATATTTGAAGAAATTAAATAATGAAAATCTGCATAAATGTATGCATGTTTCTCGCATTGTGATAAAACAACGGTACCTAAAACCATCAAATTTTGAATAACATACGTTTCCACCCGAATATAGACATCTGGAAGCCCAAATTTGGAATTTGTTTTATATTATCAATTTCATATTTGGTGAAACTTTTAACAATTTTTGATTAACAAACTCTAGGATTTCAAAGCAAGCAATGGCAACACTTTACAGGGAAAAAATAATTTTATCCTCCAGTACGTGAGACTGTGTATCAGAAATTCTAAAAATATGCTCATTTTAAAATTATTTTTTAATATTGCTGTTGCACTTTTATGGTTTAAGTGCGAAGAGCATGATATTTAATAAATAAAGGTAACACAAAACTTTTAAGAAAACTTTCCTTTGGGCATAATGTAAAATTTAAAAGCTTTCAAATTTTATTTTATTTATTTTCATTCCATGCAATGACCACATTTGTTTACATTGATAAATTGATAGCTTCTTAAAGTAGCATCTTTTGAGACTTTTCTGATATGAAAATTGATAAATTGATAGCTTCTTAAAGTAGCATCTTTTGAGACTTTTCTGATATGAAAAATGGAAAACATGGTAAAGAAATAGGGGCTTAAGAAAAAGAGAAATTTTTATCTTGTAAAAGTTTAATTTTAACTGTGGGATTATAAATTTATGTTATTAATTGCATAGCACATACATGAAAGGTAATGGCAGGATTAGCATGGGGATTCAGTTTAGGGAAAACCTTACTGCTGATTTTTTTCTAAATAGTGCAGTTATTTATTTCTCTGTTTTTCTTTTGTTTAAAAGGCTGAAAAATGACTGAAAATAGTTTTAATGCTGGATAAGCATTTTTTTTTTTTTTTTTTTTTTTTTTTTTTTTTACTTGAAATACTTTGATATGTTTTTATAAAGGAATTTTTTCCTTGCTTAAAAATTTTTTCTAATACTTTTTTTACATGTATAGAATTCTATTAAAAATAATAACCTTCTATTGTATGAATCTTGATTAAGTAAGGTACAAGTATGTTTTGGTTTTTATGTAAACAAAATTCAGAAAGACACCTATAATTGGCACAAGCTTCTATATGATGTAAATCTTTATAACTACTTTAGTTATTCATTTGTTTATTTTGTACTTTTTCATGCATATTTAAAAATTTAACTGCATTTCCTCTATTTAATTTTACTCTTATCAACTATAAAATTATCCTTTTATTTTAGGTCATATCATCTGGGGATAAAAATGAAAAGTCTCCTAGCAAAAAAACTGGTATATCAACTGACGATTCATTTTCTCTTCATAATAAACTGAGTATGATATTTATTTCCAGTCATTTTTAAACTGTATTTGAAATATTCACAACAAAGCAATACTGAATGCTGAAATATAAAACATTTTTGACTTAAAGATACATGCATACGTATTGGAGGCATCAGCAATCTGTATTTACTTCTCGTTTCTATTTCACTATTATGTTCTCACTGTATCTGGAATTTGCCAGAAATCGCATGAATGGAATAACTGAACCAGTGAGCATTAATAATCATGCCCCTTTCAATCTCACTCAGTTCATATGCATTCATTTCCATATCTAGAACTGGTAAGTATTTCATTGCGAGTATTATGTGTGCTCGGTAAATATTCTTCTAAATACATATACAAGCTCACAGTATGCATTAGTAATGTAATAGGCAGCTGTGATTTTCTTTTAAGGGGTCTTTAGAGGCAAAATAACACACTATCCCAAATCTCTTGTAACTTGATTGTGCTTATATGACCTAAAGGAAAAGTTCTGGTTTTTCCCTCTTTCTAAGATCATCAAAGAAAAGAAATCATTCCAAATAGTTGTTTGAGGTTGCCTTATGAAATAAATGACATCATCATTTAAGGTAGAATTCTTATTTTCTTTATCTAAAATGTGATTAAATGTGATTTTATTTAGATTATATGTGACAAATAAAATTGATGCAATAAAAAAATTCTATTAGCAATGAATGCCAATAACGTTATAACTTAATAATTACTTTTATTGTAATCTAAAAAGCAAAATCTTCATTTCGTGTTTAACTTAAGGGGAATTTTAAAATGCTTAATTATTCTGTATTAGACTTTTAAGTGCCATTATGTTTTAAATCTGCTTTTAAAGAACTTTGTTTAAACAGTGTTTACTGGCGAAGTTTACATAATTATTTTAGTCTGTTTTCATAAACTTGATTGATTCATTAAAATAATACTAAGATTATTAAGGTAAATAAGAAAAATGCTTTCATATAATAAAGTTATATATACCAAATAACAGAAAAACTTATGACTAGATAAAGGTAGTCTGGCCACTCAGGGAATTTAATAAAGCAAGAAATGCTAATCAAAGAGAAAATTATGTTAAGATTAAAGTATGTCATACTTAAGATTGCAATTAGCTTTCAAGAGCATATATAATAATTTGAAGTGTACACAGCTTCTCTGGGGATCTAAGTCTTATATATAAAGATTTACCCTCAAATAATCTGAAATAAATTCTATGAAAGAAACATTATGGGCATATAAAGTACTTAATGAAAATATCTACTCGAAACTAGAAATTACCAGAACAGTTTTGAAACTTTGTATATTGAAAAATTAAGTAAACACTTGTGTTTCTTTTAGTATCAGACTTGCCATATAAAGTAGAACAATAAAAATTAATTAATAAAGTTATGATAAAGTTTAAAACCAGTAAAGTATAATAAATAAAATAATCAAATTAAAATTAAAATTGCATAACAATCTGAATTTTAATTTCATTATTAGTATCATTTATATATATATATGTCATAATTAAAGCAAAGGAAATGACGGAACACTGTAGATGCGTGATTAGACCCATATTGAAGAAGCATTTTGATTGCGTAGTATTTAAAGAACTTGGCAGTCGAAGCAGTTTTAATTCCATTTTTATTTCCAATTGATATTTGTGGCCACAATTACTTGGCACTCTAGTCGTGCCTTTCCACAGAAGATTTACATTTTTGATATTGTTGGGATAGAAAGCAAGCCAGCGAAATCACATCTTAGCAGAGTAGCAAGCAAAAGCTGAAGTGCGTAGTTATGAAAGATGGAAGCACGCGAAGAGAAAAGTTTTGGTTTACAATTCTGTGATTGGTCGAGAGGGATCTGCATTATGGGTTAAGTAAGATCGCATGATTAATTTGAATGACGCAGTTTAGACTTAAGCGCTATTTTTAGGACAGATAGAGGAAGTTCTCAAATGAAATAGAAAATAATGGAAGTTATAGTGAATTAAGTTTAGAAGTTTGCTTTCGTATTTTTTATCTTACATATATATATATTTAGTAACACGTGTTAGCAAAGAACATTTTTTTGTAGTAAGGTTTATTATTAATGTTTATTTATTCATTTGTATTTTAAATCTATGAAATATTTTAGGAGATGCTATGAGCACAGCAGATGATGATGAGGACTGTGACAAGCCATTAGCATCTTTAATAGGACATCCTATTGTAAGTAATATCAGTACCTTTATTATTTTTTTAAATTGTGGGTTAAAAGTATAAATCATTTCAGTAATAATTTAAGCCTTTCGATATGGCACATCTTTGTTTAAGATGTTCCCTCAGTACAAATGGGAATCAAAAGGAATCGTCCCACAGGATGGGGTTTTGCATTGCTAAGCCTTAAAAAAAAGTTCTAACATCGTAATTTTTTGCACCATTTTAAATTATTACTTAAGCTATCATATATGTTAAAATTAGCATAATTGCATGAACCTTTATTAAAAAAATTGCATATTTTGAGAAATAATTTTCAAAAGCATTATTCATATTATTCCGAAGTTTTAATTGATAAAATACATTTATAAACTTTATTCAAGTACAGTATACATTTATAAATATTTAAAAATTACAAGAAGTAACACTTTCACGGGAAATAGAAAACTAGCACTTGGTGAGCTCAGTCTCTAAGACAAAATATCTGGGTCAAAATCACTAGAATATCATTCTCTAACTCTTTAAAAAAATCATCATTGTCATCCACGTCACTCATTGGTATGAGAGTATATCCTTCCTCTAATAAATAACGCTTGCTTGCCATAATAAACTAAGGCTTTACAAAATAAAAAAGTAGATATGCGAAATGTAAGTGATAAAAGCAATGCAAAGCGTAACAGAACCCCACATGATAACCCTAAAAGACCCTATATAGTGGGGAGGGAAGCATTCAAGGAATATCGGAAACATGGATGTTTAATCCTACGAGTGAGTTAAAGGGCTGAGCTCTATTTGTCTACATTGTGTTTTCCTGCGCGACAGTTAACATCGGAGTTAGGCAGAATGTTATCAAACTGGAGGTCAGATTCCTAAAACTATGTTCAGTTCAAAAGTAATGGCCACATGCATCACCCGTCCCCTAAGGTCCTCCAGTGATGTATGCCTCCCCTTTTTTTTACTTCTAAATTAATACTTGTTCGGTGTTATTTTATCTTAACTAAAGTTAAATTACAAACCGCTCATTTATTAGCCATGAAAGGAAAACCATTTAACCATGATGAATAAATTAAATCACGTTTGCTTTTGGCAGCCAAAAATGTGTGCCTGGAAACTATAGATATGTTTCAATTTAGTCTTTTGGTGAGAACAACTGTTAGAAGATTTGAGGACATTGGGAGCCTCATCAGGAGTGAATCAAAAGACAAAGCAAAAAAATTTCAAATGGTTTTCATTGGCTCTTGATGAATCAGCAGGTATTACTGATACTGCACAATTTCTGGAATTTATTCGAGCAGTCAATGCTGAATTTGAGGTGACTGGAGAATTAGCTTCTATGAACAGTCTGTGGGGAACTACTACACATGAAGGTATCTTTGAGGAAGTCGAGAAAACGGTAACACAATTCAAATTGCAATGGAATCAATCATTCAAAATGTGTCACAACTGATGATGGACAAATTATGTGTGAAATGGAGAAAGATATTTTAACAACTTTTTAAAGCTTATGAAGATGCTAAATGTTTAAAACCACTTTTAATTTTATTTATCAAATGCCTGGCCATTGCCATTAGGATTAGGCGATGAACTCTCCAATACTTCTTTTCAATACAGTCCAAACCCTGTAGAGAGCAGCAGTCGCAGTAGCGGATTTAGCATTACCCAAGGGGCACCATCTGGAGGCCTGTTACAATACACTCCAATACCATTTGTAATGCATTGTATTAATCACTAATAAGCTTTTTGTAGGGAACACCTTAATCTGTCATGTGTTATTGAACCAGTTGTATCAGTAGTAAACTTCGTTCGTTCTCGCTGACTTAATCATCGCAGGTTTTGTGAATTTTATTATAGATCAAAGCTGAATATCCTGACTTGACTTGATCGAAGCTGAATATCCCATTGTTGAGGCATCAAACAGCTGTATGATAAATACAACATGTTAACAGCTACAGCTGTTAACATGCCTCAACAATGGGAAAGTTTTGTTGAGATTCTTTGAACTAAGCGAAGTCGTAGATATTTTTTTAAATAAGAAAAATTGCCCACAACTTTTATTATCGAACTGCGAATGTCTATGAAAATTAGTATTTACCACAGATATTGTTTGATATCTCAAGGAATTCAGTTTAAAATTACTGGGAAAAACAGTACTCATATGAAATGTATTCTATTGTAAAAGCATATTGCTGAAAATTTTCATTGTTTGAAATATAAATAATATTAACCCCTTCACGCCAGGTAGCGCAAATGCGCGCTTATCGCACAGGCCGGGAGCTTTTTTTCTATTAAGCCTAAATCCATGAAATTTCCGAAGTATCAACGTTTTGTTTAATAATGCTCTATAGAGTATTTAAACGGCTTGTGCTTTATAAATATTTTTATATATACTTTAATTACCTTATTTCTTGTTTAAATGCATATTTTATACATTTTATTTTCATTACTCACCATTTTATGACTTTAAACATTATACATCTGAAAACTAAATGTATTACTTAAAATTCTCTTTTCGTATGAAAAATTTGAAAACAGGGATCTACACACAGTCCTACGTTACATTCATTGCACTCGTAATAACGACATTGATGATGAGAACATTAATTAATTAAGGATTAATGATGATGAGGACATTTCGGACATCCGTATGCCGAGTACGTCGGCATACAGATGTCCAAAATGTCCTCATCATCATTAGATTCGCCAGATTTTTTATGATTAGAATATATCATAGTACAGTCAAAATCGTTAATTCGGACACCCATAATCCGGACCTCAAAGCTACAAACTTTCTGCGCATTCGTTGCATTGACTCATGCGCATAAGACCTTTACAGCTGCGAATATGCACGTGCACAAAATATGTTTGCGAATGCGCGTTTAATGTATAACAGACGGTATAAGCTAAGCTAAAATTATGTAATTCAGTTAATGTTGCAGATTGCATTGTTCCTTAATCTTCGAATTGGATCCGGCTTATTATTTTTTGCAGACTGTTAGAGCAATTTTATAAAAGTAAGCTTGAACTTTCGATTATGTCAAATAGAATTTCTGATATATATTTACTAATATGTAAAGGATCTACAAAGCGAAAGTATGTTTCGAAGTCCATTAAACAAAAAGTGGAATTGCTGCAAAAAATGGATAAAGGATAATGGATTTGTTTATCTAACCATTCCAAAATCTCAATTTCACGCTGCTCTGTGTGGGGGGGGCACTTCACGGCGCGCAATGAACTGGAAGTTGATCTGTCAGCACTATCCTTATCTTCAGGGCAGATGTTTTTATTTTATTTGGCTTATAATTCCTTACTAAATGTAGTATTTCATCTCAATGTACTCCGTCTTTGATATGATTTAAATCAAATTCCTCGTCATTATAATTCGCTTCCGATATCGAAGAAAGTGACACAGAGGTCACTTTCTTCGAAAACGAAAGAATTTCGATTGACAAATTAGTCAGTATTCTCGACACAGCAAATATAGGACTTGAACAGCTGAACTTTGTAACTGAACGAGAAATTATGTCTGTTTATAGAATTAAAGAGAAAGTATTATCACATAAAAAATGAAGCAACTTAAACAACTTACATCGAAAGAAATGTTTAATAAAGTAAACAAATAAATATTAAGCTTTTTTTTTTTTTTGATAAATTTTGATACCCTTTAGATCATAATTTTTCTTTATTTCATAAATTACGGTTTCATATTTTTAATTTTATAATTTCTGTGTGCCGTCTTACCAGATTTAAACTGATGATCTGTAATCCGGAATCGCCGAAGTCCCGACGAGTCTGGATTAACGACTTTTGACTGTATCACTATCACTACTATCAGAATCTGTTTCAGAATCAATATCTGAAATATTTTGCATCATTTCTGCTATTTCATGCCATGTTAAACATTTTCGAGGCTTCAACATTGTAACGGTAAAAACAGAAAGAATTCACGTCTAATAAGATTTAATTATTTTCTAAAAACTGAACTGCAAACCGAAATACCCAATGCTTTAGCGAAAATAAAACTTCTCTACTTACAATAAACAACTACCATGTGCGAATTTTAAGAAACGTCATAAATCACGCCATTCGGAAACATTTATTTTCCCTTTTGTTTATATAATCAAAACATTTATTTCCCCTTTTGTTTATGTATGTGAGTCATGCTTCTCTCATTTCGAATAGAAGGTCTAATGTACATGTATCTGAAACCATATGGACATACAGTGCCATGCCATCTTGTGGCAGAAATTATAGTTTTTAAAACATTCCAGGACACTGGCACAAATACGTGACAGTCGGGGCTGAACGGGAAAATGCTCTGGCACACCTGCGTGTCGGCCGGGAAGTGAGTGTGTTAGTTGCTGGCACATAGACGTGACAGTCGGCACAAAGGGGTTAAGGAAATTTTTTTTCCATGCTGTAAAAAATTTCAAATATTGGCGAAATACCGATTCCTCGAAAAATTGGCGCTGGATATAGTTTCTGAACTTATACTGCAGTTTCAACAGCGTTTTGTGTATCTTAAATGCAAGTGCAAAAGATATTTCCATATTTTAAAATCCAACTGACTGTATAATTGCAGAGCTTCCATCACACCTTCAACTGAAAGTGACTGAATTGCAAAAAGATGATATGTTAAAAATGATCAAACTTACTTTTAAGAATATTTTTCAGAAGATAAATATGGTCAATTAAATTTATATGCTTGGAGATGTATATCCATGTTTGGAGTACTTACCAATGCAGAGAAACATTTTTGAAAATGAAGTATGTAAAATTGCATATCAATAATAGATGACCATTTGCAAACAACTTTAATGGTAAGAAGTACTAATTCCGAACTCCGGTGAGACAAAATGTTATCTCAGAAAAAACAGTTACATTCTTTGCATGAAAAATTTGAATCTATTTAGTAATAGGTTAAAATATGTGTGTAATATGTAAATGTAAATCTTTTATTCATATTTTTGGGAGTAAATGTTAGTAAAATGTGTATAAATATTATGTAATAGTAT